ATATTTTAATTTTTGGAATCTAGTCTTAGCTTGTGGAATCAAACGCGTCACAAATAATTTATTGTTTTTAAAATTCAATGTTTTTTGGGGGTCTCAGCCTTTTATTATTTTTATTTTTCGGAATCTAGTCCTAGCTTGTGGAATCAACAGCGTTACAAGTAATTTATTTCATGGGGGTCTGAGCTTTTTAATGTTTTAATTTTTGAAATCTAGTCCTAGCTTGTGGAATCAACAGCGTAACAAGTAATTTATTGTTTTTTAAAATTTAATGTTTACTGGGGGTCTCAGCCATTTAATATTTTGAATTTTTGGAATCTAGTCCTAGCTTGTGGAATCAACAGCGTTACAAGTAGTTTATTTCATAAGGGTCTGAGCTTTTTAATGTTTTAATTTTTAAAATCTAGTCCTAGCTTGTGGAATCAACAGCGTAACAAGTAATTTATTGTTTTTTAAAATTCAATGTTTACTGGGGGTCTCAGCCATTTAATATTTTTAATTTTTGGAATCTAGTCCTAGCTTGTGGAATCAACAGCGTCACAAGTAATTTATTGCTTTTTAAAATTCAATGTTTATTGAGGGTTTCAGCCTTTTATTATTTTGAATTTTTGAAATCTAGTCCTAGCTTGTGGAATCAACAGCGTAACAAGTAATTTATTTCATGGGGGTCTGAGCTTTTTAATGTTTTAATTTTTGAAATCTAGTCCTAGCTTGTGGAATCAACAGCGTAACAAGTAATTTATTGCTTTTTAAAATTCAATGTTTATTGAGGGTTTCAGCCTTTTAATATTTTAATTTTTGGAATCTAGTCTTAGCTTGTGGAATCAAACGCGTCACAAATAATTTATTGTTTTTAAAATTCAATGTTTTTTGGGGGTCTCAGCCTTTTATTATTTTTATTTTTCGGAATCTAGTCCTAGCTTGTGGAATCAACAGCGTTACAAGTAATTTATTTCATGGGGGTCTGAGCTTTTTAATGTTTTAATTTTTGAAATCTAGTCCTAGCTTGTGGAATCAACAGCGTAACAAGTAATTTATTGTTTTTTAAAATTTAATGTTTACTGGGGGTCTCAGCCATTTAATATTTTGAATTTTTGGAATCTAGTCCTAGCTTGTGGAATCAACAGCGTTACAAGTAGTTTATTTCATAAGGGTCTGAGCTTTTTAATGTTTTAGTTTTTAAAATCTAGTCCTAGCTTGTGGAATCAACAGTGTCACAAGTTATTTATTGTTTTTTAAAATTCAATGTTTATTGGGGGTATCAGCCTTTTAATATTTTGAAATCTAGTCCTAGCTTGTGGAATCAACAGCGTCACAAGTAATTTATTGTTTTTTAAAATTCAATGTTTACTGGGGGTCTCAGCCTTTCAATATTTTAAATTTTTTGGAATCTAGTCCTAGCTTGTGGAACCAACAGCGTCACAAGTAATTTATTGTTTTTAAAATTGAATGTTTATTGGGGGTCTCAGCCTTTCAATATTTTAAATTTTTTGGAATCTAGTCCTAGCTTGTGGAACCAACAGCGTCACAAGTAATTTATTGTTTTTTAAAATTCAATGTTTATTGGGGTCTCAGCCTTTCAATATTTTAAATTTTTGGAATCTGGTCCTAGCTTGTGGAATCAACAGCGTTACAAGTGATTTATTTCTTGGGAATCTGAGCCTTTTAATATTTTAATTTTTGGAATCTAGTCCTAGCTTGTGGAATCCACAGCGTCACAAGTAATTTATTGTTTTTTAAAATTCAATGTTTCTTGGGGGTCTCAGCCTTTTAATATTTTGAATTTTTGGAATCTGGTCCTAGCTTGTGGAGTCAACAGCGTCACAAGTAATTTATTGTTTTTTAAAATTCAATGTTTCTTGGGGGTCTCAGCCTTTTAATATTTTGAAATTTTTGGCATTTAGTCCTAGCTTGTGGAATCAACAGCGTTATAAGTAATTTATTTCATGGTGGTCTGAATTTTTTAATATTTTAATTTTTGTAATCTAGTCCTAGATTGTGGAATCAACAGCGTCACAAGTAATTTATTGTTTTTAAATTTCAATGTTTTTTGGGGGTCTTATCCTTTTAATATTTTAATTTTTGGAATCTAGTCCTAGCTTGTGGAATCAACAGCGTCAAAATAATTTATTGTTTTTAAAAATTCAATGTTTCTTGGGGGTCTCAGCCTTTTATTATTTTTAATTTTTGGAATCTAGTCTTAGCTTGTGGAATCAACAGCGTCACAAGTAATTTATTGTTTTTTAAAATTCAATGTTTAATGGGGGTCTCAGCCTTTTAATATTTTGAATTTTTTCGAATCTAGTCCTAGCTTGTGGAATCAACAGCGTTTCAAGTAATTTATTTCTTGGGGGTCTGAGCCTTTTTGATTTGAGATGAATCTTTTGTTTACATTTTCCACTAAAGCTTGTCAGGTTTACAATTTGTTTGATGTTTTTCTAGGGTGTTGGACATCTGGCAGAAAGTAATTCCTAGGAATTCCTAGGAATTTACGTAGTTCCTAGGAATTTTACGTAGAGGTTTACGTAGGCTCCTAGGAATTCCTAGGAAAAACTAGGAATTTTGGAAAATCCTAGTGATTCCTAGGAACCTTATTTTAGGAACTAAAATTTTTAAATTATTACTATGATTTCCTAGTATATACTAGGATTTCCTAGGATAGCTCAATAAATCTTGGAGGAATTTCCTAAAAATCCTAGAAGTTTCTAAGATTCCTAAACGGAGTAACTAGTTTCACAACAAAAACAAAAATCATGAAGAAAGGCTCGAGAATATATATCTATATTTAATGATTATGATTTATTTTTTAATTTTTATTAAGTTCTTTCGCTTGGGATTTCAAACTAGCAGCAGCTTTTGGCGATAAACGCTTTCCTCTATTATTTTTAGATTTTGATGACTTGTTAATTTTTCCTCTATTGGATACACCTTGTTTTGTTGTACTTGAAATAGCGGTTGTTTCTTGTACTGTTATAGTCTTAGTTGTGGATGAATTTGTCAACGGTTGACGCTCGGGAGTTGGATTTACTAAGAATCCTAAGAATCCTAAGGATATTAAATGAATTCTTCAAGGAATTTCCTTACTATCTGTAGGATTTACTAAGAATCCTAAGAATCTTAAGGATATTAAATGAATTCTTCAAGGAATTTCCTTACTATCTGTAGGATTTACTAAGAATCCTAAGAATCCTAAGGATATTAAATGAATTCTTCAAGGAATTTCCTTACTATCTGTAGGATTTACTAAGAATCCTAAGAATCTTAAGGATATTAAATGAATTCTTCAAGGAATTTCCTTACTATCTGTAGGATTTACTAAGAATCCTAAGAATCCTAACGATATTAAATGAATTCTTCAAGGAATTTCCTTACTATCTGTAGGATTTACTAAGAATCCTCAGAATCCTAAGGATATTAAATGAATTCTTCAAGGAATTTCCTTACTATCTGTAGGATTTACTAAGAATCCTAAGAATCCTAAGGATATTAAATGAATTCTTCAAGGAATTTCCTTACTATCTGTAGGATTTACTAAGAATCCTAAGAATCTTAAGGATATTAAATGAATTCTTCAAGGAATTTCCTTACTATCTGTAGGATTTACTAAGAATCCTAAGAATCCTAAGGATATTAAATGAATTCTTCAAGGAATTTCCTTACTATCTGTAGGATTTACTAAGAATCCTAAGGATATTAAATGAATTCTTCAGAGAATTTCCTTACTATCTGTAGGATTTACTAAGAATCCTAAGAATCTTAAGGATATTAAATGAATTCTTCAAGGAATTTCCTTACTATCTGTAGGATTTACTAAGAATCCTAAGAATCCTAAGGATATTAAATGAATTCTTCAAGGAATTTCCTTACTATCTGCAAGTTCGAAATTCGAAGCAGACCGTCATCAAAATCCAGAAAGAGTTGATCGCTCACAAATAACTGGACTCCTTGACAAATGCACAAAAGATTTGGAAGAAGGAAGAATCTCAGAACTAATGTTTATCAAGAAATTTCAAGGCAGGAGAAAAATTTTAATCATGTTGAAATACCTAATTTTTATACTTTTTCATTGACTAATTTAATTATTCCTGTTACTTTACGTAGGAATTTTCAAGGAATTCCTAGGATTTACTATAGAAAATTCCTACGTATTCCTTGAAAATTCCTACGTAAAGTAACAGGAATTCCTAGGAATTACTTTCTGCCAGATGACCATGAGCCGTTTTTCTATTTTCTACCAGACACTGTATTTAAATAAGCTGGAGTCAACTTATTTGTGGTAAAATGCTCCGTGACCGAAAATGTAATTTTAAAAAAAAATTCTATAGGAGCATCAATATTTATCTTTTAAATTCTCATGTTTGCATCATGAAATGCATATCAAATGGTAGAGTATTATCACTTCTAAAATACTTATGCTTCAAATCTAAGGAAAACAGATCAATTAAAGTGAAAAATCGATTCTCCGAATGTCAACTTTATGTCACGGAGCATTTTTAAACTTTTATTTTCCGGATTCGTGAAAAAATTACCGAAATATCAAATCAAAAAATTCAAATACTACTCTTATCATTGATTAATAATCATCATGTAAATCTATTAATAATACTTAAATGATTCAAGACTATTTTAAGATTTAAAATCAAATCAATTTAAAAGATATTACCAAAAAATATTTTTACCATCTAAACTCGAATAACCTTGCATTAAAAAAGCTTATTCTTCAAAATTCTACCATTCTGGAGAATTGCCCATAAACTTTTTCTGAGATCAAAAGTCAGAAAGTTTTTGAAACTTTAGAAAGTCTTTAAATGTTTAGAATTGTCTAATGACAGCATGGAAGTTTTAAAATAACCTTCAATCGTGATGTTTATTTACATAAAAAGCAACATAAATTTATGATCTAAGGAAGCTATACGCTACACATCATTCATATGGTATTTGTTAAACTAAAAGGACCTACCTAGTCAAAATAGATTATTTAAAAATAAATTGGGAGGCGTTTAGTAAAGTGGTGCATTCAAAAATTGAGTACGTTTAGGAAAGTTCAGAAAGAAGTTTTGGAATCTATTATACATTTTTAAAGTGTAGTTTAATTAACAGAAAAGTCAATAAAAACGGGATCATTAAGTTATTTGAAACACAGAAAGTGCTTGTGACATAAAGTGATTGTGAATGTTTTCAAATTGAGGCAGAATTTGTAAATTGTAAGTGTTGAATTTATTTATACTTGTACTTATTAGGCCATCATATTTTTCTACAAGAAATTTAGGGAAATGAGTGAATAGTAATCGAAAATAATTAAATTTGTAGCTTTTTCCTACTCTTTGTGCTGAAATAATTGAAAAATTCAAAAGATTTGTTTGATATAATTTTGTCAAGCTTTATTGTAGTTTCATCATATTATTTTTTTTTTTATGTCATCCAATGACTTTTTTACTTAAAATATTACTAAGCATTCATATGTTTTTGCTTAAATGTACTATGCAATCTCACTTTTTCACCATAAATTTGACAAAGCTAACCTATATCTACGCTTTTTCTCATCTTTAGTCTCCATTATCATCTTAGACATTCATTCTCAATCATACATATACATACAAGACGCGATAAATGCTAAAATATTTTCCTATGTCTCTCAAATAATGGATGAACAAAAAAGAAACAGCATAAAACTTTTCATTCCTTATTTGACAATTAACGATTAGATAAATTATTTATTAAAAAGTCGCATAAACTTCCATGAAGAATTAAAGAGGAAAAAAAAGTAAAATAAGACAATAAGACTGAGTAGAAATCTCTAAATTACTATGTATAAGTAAGTGAATATATGTAGTTTAAAATTGGCGCGTTTAATGTACCTAGTTGATATTTCTTCCACACTCTTACAGAAGAGAAGAAAAAACTTTTTTTTTAAATGAAAGAAAAGTGGGAAAGGAACATATTTATTTTAACAGCACAAAGCTCATTATCAAAAAATTGATGTTTTGTACCCTAATTATAGTTTACGTGATTTTTCTAGTATATTCATTTATTTTTTAAAATTCATTCATTCAGACCTTTAAAGGCTTCAATTTTTATATTTTGTTGCTTTATTTTATTTTATTGTTTTATTCGACTCAAGCCTTAGTGTAATTCTTTTTTTCCCATTTGTTTTTTTTTTGTCTTTTAATGAACCTCACAAAATCACACAATCATGAGTACTACTCTAGTGAATAGAGTTTAATTTTTGAAGCAACATATCTCGAGACTACTATGTCAGTATGAGTAATGAAAAATTATAAGCAAGATGGTGAAGAAAAGTAGTAGACATTATTACTCATATTATTACAAATTATAACTCAGATACGTACACAATGAATGAAAAAAAAGAGAGGAAAAAAGAATATTGATCATTCGTTCTTTTCAACTGTACTTATTGCTTGCTTGCTTGCCTTTAACTGCTATGGCAATCCAATTTTTTGCAGAGTAATAACATGAACTAAGAAATCAAACATGGCGTCACTTTTTCAAATTTTATTTTTTGTTTCAATTTTCATTCATTTATCTCTAATCACTGACTTCAATTATGTCAAATTGTTAAAGAATTGGCATACATGATGCTTTTTAGTCAAATTTTATTAATAAATTTGCAAACTTTAAATAGAATTTTTACAATTTTCACAAACTATTCTCTGCTTGTTTAGTCACATATATGTATAAAAATTGGGCTTGCCTCAACGGTTGGTGAAATGAAAGAAAAAAACTTAATTCCTGAAACGCATATATCTTCTCTCTGTGTATTTTGTGTCCGAGTGTATGAGTAACATATGATATAGACGTAGAGTTCGTTAAAAATATACCATACAAATACTTTTCGGGGGAGCAGAGCAGTGAAAAAACCAAACGCTAAACTTATACACTCATAACAATTGACGTGTAATGCTTGAGAGTCTTTTTTTTTCCTTCTCTTAATAAAAATAAAGTTAAAAAATGTTTCTAGTCTAGGGCAGAAGCAGTTTTCAAACGTTGGTCAATAAAGTGCAAATTTTACAAAAAATATATTAGTTATTGAAAATTAGAGTGCATATTATTGTTAATAAACAATTAATGTCTAAGATTCAGTAGAAGTTGTGAAAGTTTGATGGAAGGAGGACGATAAAAATGTGATTATTTAAAAAAAAAATAAGAAAAAAATATTATCCATTTTATGATTCTATTAAAAACTGTTAAGAAGCGTGTGTAGTTTTAAAAAAAAAATTAAAGGTAAAACGGATTGCATTGATGATAAAGCATAAGAAAAATAGTGATTTAAAGATTTCAAAAAATTGAGAAAACGCTTCTACTCCATATTTTTGAAAAGCAGCCGCATATATGAACAGAGGCGAATGCTTGCTTGCTAGCTTACTGATACATGTTTAAATACACTAGCATATGAAAAAAAATACAAGTATAAAGACTCAATTTATTGCGCAAAATTTTTATTAGTTTTCTCATTTCTTTTCCGTTCATATTCACAAAACTTGTTTTCTCTGTACCTTGAATAATATTTTTTTTTTTTTTCATATATAAATATGTATTTACAAATTTCTTATATATTAAATTTTTTATGTATGGCACTTACGAAACAAAGAATTTCTGATAAAAGTGCTTGCGTTACCAAATTTTATACATCTCTTCCTCATTTATTTTTTTTTCACCTAATTTTTTTCGCATTTTTTATATTCATTATGATTATTATTTGAAATTATGAAACATGAAATGATAATGCTTTATAATAATATTTGAGTGAGTTTATGGTCACCTTAAGATGATAAAAATAGTATATATAGAACATATAATTGTGTTTTTTTTCTTCTTGGTGCAACTCAACTCTCTCAAATAGCGCAAGTTCACACAGGGATTTTTTTTGCTTCTTACTTCGGAAAATGTTGAGTGTATGGCATACAAATTCTACTAATACTAAAGTGCATATTTATGAATATACTGTTTCGATTTATATTAGTGTACTGATATATATATATTTATATATTTTTACTTTTTTATTCATTTGAAAAAAAAGCTCAAAGAATTGAACAAAAAAAAATTAGCTTCAAATATGTGCAAGTGCTGCTTACCGCCTTATGAAGAAGAAAAAACCTCCAATTTTTCAATGAAAATTCAGGCATCTTTATTGCTAATAGTCTCTCATCATATGCATCATTTCTCTTGAAATTTATTCTTAAAAGTTAAAGTTGAAACCAGTTTTGTTCATCTTTTTGTGTCTTTCTTCTTCTCATGTCATGTACTCCAAACGCATTCAAATTTTTATAAGACATACCTTACACATAGACCATATTTCAAAGATCAGTAGTGAAGCGCCTCATACTTTTAAATTTTGTTTTTTTAAAAAAAAGAATTCTTTATGCTAATAATAAAATTCCATTTTTTTTTTCAGCTGCAACAAGCATCAGATCCTAAATTAAAGAGAAACTTTTCGTCTAGTGAACCAAGCTAATATCTGGAATATTTGAAAATATTTCATATGATATTAAGCTTCCTAAAACACATCAACATCAAAAATAAAATTAACAAAAAAAATAATGAAGAAACGAGTGGATGAAATACAAAATTTTCATGGGACCGCTGCTGCTCGAAGTGGAGTTTCAAGTGGTGCTACTCGCATTTTAACACCTCCACAACATGGAGTTCAAATAAGTCCAAATACTGCACAAAGTCAGTATCAAATATTAAACATAAGGGAACCGACACAAAGTATACAGTATACATACACGTCGGCTATAAACTCTTCAAACATTCAAAAAAACAATATATCACAACAACAGCCATCACAAAATCCAACTGTTCATACTGTCAGCGCTGGAAGCGTCAATATTACAAGTACTATTCGTTCCAAGCCTACAACTTCGGGAAATATTACGCCGACACTTACTAGTCCGACATCTACAGCTGCAATTCCAGCTCAAAATGTCACTGGCCAAAATTTTCCACGCTTAAAGGTCGAGGATGCGTTAAGTTATTTGGATCAAGTAAGTTTGTAATTCCAATATTCTATAATAAAATAAAAAAAATTCTTTGCTTGTATTAGTAAAAAGGTCCAGAACGATTTTAACCTAAACAATATAAAATATTTATTTAATTATGATTTTTCTCTGTCATTAAAGGTAAAATATAAATTCGGAAATCAGCCTCAGGTTTATAATGATTTCCTTGATATCATGAAAGAGTTTAAATCTCAAAGTATTGACACACCCGGAGTTATTCAGCGTGTTTCAAATTTATTTAAAGGTCATCCAGAGCTCATTGTTGGATTTAATACTTTCTTACCGCCCGGCTATAAGATAGAAGTGCAAGCAAACGATCAAGGATTTGCTTATCAAGTATCTGTATCAGTTCCTTCACCTTCAGCTACTGGCAATACAACAATTCAAACGCAGCATTCTCCCCCGACAAAATTCATTCAGAGCACAGGACACATAATTCAACAGCCACCAGTTAATTTAATATCGAGCCATTCTCAAAGCATACATATTCAACCGTCTTCACAGCAGCAACAATCTCAGCAAGAACAAAGATCATCATCAGCAGTACAACAAAATCACTTGTCGACAATTAGTACAATGTCTCAAAATTTTTCGCGTGCTGAACGCAGCACCGATCGACAGCAATTGCCCGCGGCAAGTTCAACTAATATTCAATCAAATACACAGCAATCGACTACCACCACAGTGGCAGTGACAACAACAACAACAGCAGCTCCTCAGCAATCAAATACACAGCAGCAACAGCCTACAGCTACAACCCCAGTTTGTAACGAAACTTCCGGATCACATAGGATTCAGCCAATTTTTCAAAACGATAATCAACCTGTTCAATTCAATCAAGCGATTGTCTACGTTAACAAAATTAAGGTGAGTCTAACCTACCTATTTTTTTTAAAAAAAAAATATGTAAACAATTCTTTTCGCGCTTAAACCTTAAATGTTTAATAATTCTCAACATTATTTACTTATAGTGTCGCTTCCAAGAACAGCCTGAGAAATATAAGCATTTTCTGAGGATACTGCACAAGTATCAGAATGAGCAACGAAGAAAAGATAATTCAGGCAAAGGAGGATCGCCATTAACAGAAACGGAAGTTTTCAAGCAAGTTGCTCATTTGTTTGATAATCAAGAAGATCTTTTGAGGGAGTTTGGGCAATTTCTTCCTGACGCATCACCAACAACCACACCGAATGTATTAATTAATAAGACACCGTCATCGTTCAGTGAATCAAGTGACAAATTAAATAGTTCAACTTTAGGTGCTCAACATTCGAACATAAAGCAAATCGGAAATAACATTTCTCGCAATAACATCATTAATACAATCGAATTGTTTCAAGCAAACAATAATGATAAAGATTTTCATCTCGGATCATTTGCCAATTTGGCGCGTGAGAAGGATGCAAATAGAAATCATATGAATGCAAGCAATCAGAAATATGGAAGCATTAATAGTTCAGTTTCGGGCTTAAAACGATCTCCAGGATCGGCAGGCATACAAATTAATCATTTGAATCGTTCTCATGATCGTGGAGAACCACCTATTAAGCGGCATAAACCTGTTTTTAGAGATGTTTCTTATGCTGATGCGTCACGTTCTGGAACTTTACAAGACTATGCATTTTTCGATAAAGTAAGAGAAGCTCTTAAATCATCCGATGTTTATGACAATTTCCTTCGTTGTCTGACGCTCTTTAATCAAGAAATTGTTAGCAAATCGGAATTAATGACTCTAATAACGCCATTTTTAAGTAAGGAACCTGAACTATTGAAACGATTCCAAGAATTTTTGAAATTCTCAGCAGCACCAGAGCCTATTCCTTTATCCGTGGCACAGCGTCAAGAGCATCGTACACAAACAGATACGGCTGCAGAAATTGATGTTACACAATGCAAGCGATTAGGAACGAGTTATTGTGCACTTCCAAAAACGAGCGAAGCAAAGAAATGTAGCGGAAGAACACCTTTATGTCGTGAAGTTTTGAACGATACATGGGTCTCATTTCCGTCTTGGTCAGAAGATTCTACATTTAATACATCACGAAAAACACAATATGAAGAATTCATTTATCGTTGCGAGGATGAACGCTTCGAATTGGATGTTGTTATTGAAACAAATAGTGCAACAATTCGTGTCCTTGAAGGTGTTCAAAAGAAAATGTCTAAAATGTCGGCCGATGAGTTAAGTCGATTCAAACTTGATGACTCGTTGGGAGGAACGTCTCAAACTATTCATCAGCGTGCTCTTCGAAGAATTTATGGAGACAAATCGCCCGATATTATTGAAGGATTGAAAAAGAATCCAAATGTTGCTGTGCCTGTTGTCCTTAGACGATTAAAAGCTAAAGAAGAAGAATGGCGAGAGGCTCAAAAAGGTTTCAATCAGCAATGGAGAGAGCAGAATGAAAAATATTACTTAAAATCTTTGGATCATCAAGGCATTAATTTCAAGCATGCCGACACCAAGGCTTTACGGTCAAAAAGTCTAATGAATCAAATAGAGACTGCTTACGAAGAGGTATGTATTCTTAGTCATTAATTGAATAAACTACAATGCAAAAGTTTTTAGCGCATTTTTGAAAACTTGTTTTCTGAGGCATTTAAAAAACTCAAAACATGGTTTTGTACTATGTATAATTAAATTTTTTAATTCAATACAAATACTTGATGCGTTCAGAAATTTGAATTTTTTTTCTTTCGTTAAAAATTTGAATCTCAAAAAACCGCTACATAAAAAATTCCTTTGAATTCAAGGAAAACGTTAAATGACAAATGTTGTTGAATTTAAGAGTTTTTGAGAAAATCGATTTATTTGAATAAAAAAACCAACGTAAGTAATATAAACATGGCGAGAAATTTTCAAATTTAATTAACCGGTAAAGGAAAAAAAAACTTAACTGTACCGCGATCAATAAGACGAGGAGTTTTGTATTTTTTTTTAATATTATAAATCCAATTGCAGCGAAATGAAGGAAACAATGGAGAAGCACTTCCTGGCCCACATTTAATATTACACTATAAAGACAAGTCGATTCTCGACGACGCTGCAAATTTGCTCATACATCACGTCAAAAGACAAACTGGGATACAAAAACTCGAGAAAGCTAGAATAAAGCATATTTTACGACAGTTTGTTCCTGAATTATTTTTCGCTCCCCGACAACCCTTGAGTGATGATGAAAAAGAAGACGGTAAGTAAACAAATATTTCATTGTATTATTATTATTATTATTTTTTCCCTTCTCAATCTCTTTGCTTTTATTGACTATAACAATTGCAAATATGTATGGCATATTTAACTAATCTATGTTCATTATTTCAATTGCTTATTTAGATGCTAGACTTTTTTCTGATGAAAAAAAATCAGCATCAACATTATCACTAATAATAATATTACGTCAAACTCGACGACAAAAGCCCAATCAGTATTCACTCTAGAGTCAAAAAAAAGCTTGTTTATTCTCACAAAAATAGACTTCAAGCTCGAAATTTAATTGATTTTCATAAATTTTCTCAAATCGTTAATGGAAGTTGGAAAGAAAAAAAATAGACAGTAAATTTTCAGCAATATGCATACATATTAGCAAAAAGTTGATAAGTAATTAATACTTTTGTGGACATTTTTCTAACAAATACTGTTTTATTATTATTGTTTCTTCCTGATACATATTCCATCTCCTTGAAAAATCATTGGCTTTGAATTAATTCATTTGGAATACAACAATGACGCTACGTGTGTGTTTTCTGCTCGCTCTATACACTTTACAATTATTTATTTTTTTAAAAAAATAAAAAAAAAATCGAAAAATGCATTATAGTATTCCCATTTTCAGTTGAAGATAATAGCAAGGATGATGGAAAATCGACTATGAAGAATACACATAATTTTGTCCATACTGAGAAGAGTAACGGAAATGGAAGTAAAACAAATTGTACAGATGGATCTACAGAACAAAACAATAAAGATTGTCCAAATTCAAATTATTGTGATCGAGTACTAGAAGCTGGTGATGAGATTAAAGTAGAAATAAAAACTGATCCAGATGCGCCGCAATCAACAAACGTGCAAGCAGCTTTTGGAAGTGAATTGCTGCCATTACATGCCAATTCAAAACATCCGGTTAGTAAAATTATTATTATTTTAAATAAATAAATCTATCCACCAAAAAGCTGCACATTTTTGTTGTATATTTACTTGGACTTTAACTAGTTTAAGAACCTCATTTGAGGCATACATGTGCTGCTTGTGCATCTACGTTTATGAAAAATATGAATGAGTTTGTAAATTTTGAGGAACTTTTGTAATTTGCTAATTGTGCATTTTCTAGCTATGCAAAAATTGGAACGCATATTAAGAACTACTCATTCATTCATGCATTCAGTCTTGAATAGAATTTTGAACACAAAAGACCAATTTTAATTAATCAAAATTACTTTCTATAGGACGAAGCATATACATTGTTCTTTTCGAATAGCAATTGGTATTATTTCTTACGATTACACGCTATTTTGTGCGATAGACTGAGAACAATGTATGAAAGAACACAAATTTTGGCTTCGGAGGAAGAAAAGCATAAAACTAATCGACGAGAAAGTGTAGCAATTGCATTAAGGCTGAAACCCCAAAATGAATTTGAAATTCCCGACTATTATCCAGCATTTTTGGACATGCTAAAGAGTCTGTTGGACGGAAACATGGATGCATCTACTTATGAAGATAAATTAAGAGATATGTATGGAATTCATGCATACATCGCATTCACTTTGGATAGAGTAAGTCATAATTATTACTGCTGTTTTTTTTTTGTCAATTCTTTGGTGCTAATTTAGTGATTATTTTTTTTTGCAATAAATTAGGTTGTATCGAATGCCGTGAGACAGCTACAGTTTTGTGTAACAGAACGAAATGCTCTTGAATGTTTTGAAATATATCAAATGGAGAGTAAAAATAACGCCACCGGAGGACTTTGTGCGACTGCATATAAAAGAGCTTCTGCAGAATTGGCTTATCAACGAAAAGTTGAGTCAAGCTTACAAGAGGAAACATATTTTAAAGTATTCATCGTAAGTACAAATGTTTATCTATATAAATTCTATTCATTTACATATTGATTGGATTTCTTACTCATTTAAACTTCTTTGAACTTGTCTTTAAAAAAACAGTACAAGATTGATTGTCGAGTGACAATTGAAATGCTCGAGAACGATTCAGAAGAGACATCTGCAAACAATTTTGAGCAAGGACAGAGCACGAGCAAATACATCGAACGATACACAAATCCATCGTTGGGAGGTGAAAATGCAAGATCGAGTAGCAGAAATAATTCAATAAATGGCACTTCGTTTGGGATTTCTTTAGAAGTCAAAACTGAAAAAAACGATCACGATTTGGTGAGTGAAAAATAATTTAAAAAAAAACACAATTAATGTTGAAAAGCATTTTTCCAAAAAAAATCGTATATGTAAATAGTTACGTATAATAAACAGTTTTAAGAATCGAAAAAAATAAATACAGTAAGCATTAAAAGTCAAAGTAAACACATTGAGCAATATTTCCTTTTAGTTCTCATATGAAAAACACGAGCGAATTAAATTTGAGTAAGACTCTTTAGAAATTCATTTTGTTACGATTTTATCAAGGTTCCTCGCACCAACCGTGTACAAATTTACTCAAATTGTCTTTTGATTATCTCTAAATCAATGCTCAATTTACTTAATTGATCAAAATTAAATGATGAAATTTCGATTATAGAAGTAAAATATTTGATTGATGACGTACCAAGATCATAAATTTAAAGCAAACCACAAACTTTCAAGATTATTTTTGATATCATTAAAACATATTTTGCACACAAAGTAGTTTTAGCGCCAATTTTGGTATAGCTTACTAAACAATTTGTTTCGGAAATGACATTCACATTCTTTTTCTCAAAAAAAAAAAAATAATAATAATAATAATAATAATGTTATGACAAATGCATGGAACAAGGTTTAACAAAATCAAAATAAGTAATAAAAATTATTTAGCAATAACATATAACATAATAATTCACAATAGAATCTTCTCAAAGTAATTTTTAATTTGGTGACTTTCAAAAATGAAATAAACAATTTCAAAATTTTATGAAAGACTTTTATCAAAATTTGACTGACATCATCTTGTACAATTTTTTTAAAATAAAAACAAGATCATATTAAATTTTTACAACCATGAAACTTCTTTATAATTTTCCTACTTTTCCTTGTGTTAGTGACAACCGGAAAATTTCACATTTATTTGCTCCGAGCTTGATATACTCACAAAAATTACACATTCTTGAATTACGTAAGCGCATCAATTTTGTTATAATGCGCTATGATTTAATTTGCACGCGGATATGTGCTCTGCTCTGTAAAAAGTAACTTTGGAAAACATTTTTTTTTTTCATTCATTTGAAAACAGACAATTTGAACATTTTGCTTCATTAAAAGTGGACTTCCAAAAGTATTTTTTTATTTGCTACCAAAAAAAACGTTCCAATTTTTTTTTTTCTTAAAAATTATAACTAGAATAAACAGCAGCAGTATTATTATGTATAGAAAAAAAAAAAATCAGTTGATGATAAGAATATGACAAGACAAGTTTTTGTACAAAGGTAGCTTAGAATCTAAGATTCAATTGTAATTATGCTATGAAAAAAGTAATGTAAAAAAATATTTTTTGATGAAGCAATAAACTTTTGTTGAATCATTTGAATTTGCTAAAATTCCATTTTGAAATTAATACATATCTATTTTTAAATGCTTTGACTACTTTTACCTTTAATTGAATAAAACTTAAAATTGATTGATCCTCAATTAATACAGGAGAGAAAGGAATTCAGAACGAAAAAGGAAAGGCAAATAAGTTTAGCCAAAGATGGTAAATGTAGTTTTGTAAATATTTCTGTACTTTTGCACCTTTTTCATTTATTAATTTTACTTTATTTTCGTTTTATATCTGTGGTTTGTGCCTTAATTTTTTGTATATTTAATTATTTATTAATTCATATGATGAGATATTAAAAAAAAAAGAGATGAAGTTAGACGAAAGTGATGAGTCTTTAGTTTTATGATCTGGTACAGTGTCTTTCAATTCAACTAAATTCAATTTGAATATATGAGTAAAAAGAAAATTCTGAAATGGATATACCTTTCAAGTTCTTTTATGATATAATTTCTGTCTTTATCTGTTTATTCTCGTATTATTATTATTATTTTTATTATCATCATTATTATTTTGTTATTCAATTATTTTCATTTTAAATATTTTATTTTTTACTTATATTTTAAACTCAATCATTTTTCAGGAATCCTCGTTTAGGAAACCGCTATTTTTGAAGCGCAACGTAAGACAGTTCAATAAGAAGCTATCGACAATGAGTGAAAACGAGAATGGTGACAGTAAAAACATTGCTTATTCTTCAACGATTACATCATCAAGTTCCTCTGTCGTTCAAATAACATCAACGTCGAATGAATCTTCAACTACAACCGTTACTTCGTCACTTGCTACATCATCGTCGTCGAGCATATTAACAACATCATCATCTTCGGTTCCACCTACATTAGTTGCATCGAAAGCACAAGAATCATTTGGAATTAGTAATCGAGCGGTTGAAAGAATAGGACAATCTAATGCATTTAAAGAGTTTTTCATTGACGATCAAGAGCAAGTAAAGTTCAATTATCAAACATACAAGACAGTTTTCTGCAATACAACAAATAAAGGGTATATCCTCTACAGATACAACTCTCTTAAGAGGTCTAAACAGGTACATTTGTAAATATTTTCGCAAAAAAATGTGTCAAGACTAATATTTTTTTGTTTTTATTCAGACTCATCCAAATATTACAAAGTCAATGGACCAAAAGTTCAATGTGTATTTACAAAAATGGCTATCGAAAAACAGTAGTGAGCTACAACGACTTACAATAACTGACTGGCTTTTGGGAAGGAATCAGAGTAATTTTCTTCCGTGCAAAACAATTGTGAAAAAGGATAACAATCTACTAGAGACACCTTATTGCACTTATAACCGCTATAAAGTCGAACATTCTTCGAATATTAATGAGAACATAATAACGAAATAAGTATCATTACTTTCAAATCATGCATCATATATATATTTTAACTATCATTCATCATAATGAACAATGATTTTCAAGTACAAAATTATCTAATTTCAAAACAACACAACTCAAATCGTGTGATTTCTCACATAAATCATTTTTATCATGTATAAATAAAACGTATAGTAAGGAAGATAAAAAGATGAAAAAAATAATAGATATTTAAAGAAAATAAGGATTATGATTGACTATACCGTAAGCACATAAATTGCTAGAAATTGCTGAAATTTTCAATAATCAATGTTGATATGCTCATAAAGGCATCAAGTTTTTTTTTCATGTAATATAAACTAATATAAGATAGATCCTTTATTGATTTTTATTGATAATGTAGAAACTCATTAATTAAGAATAAAACGTTTATATTATAATAAAACTCCTTAAACTTTGAATGTAAATAACTATTATCTTTTTATATTTCTCTCAAATTAATTAAATAAATTTGTAGATTCAAACGTAACTTTATTATGCATTTAATTTTTGCTTGCATTCTTAGTTTTCAGCTCAGCTACTTAACTGATTTTTAATATTTGAATGGATTTTTCGTTCTCGTAAAATTTTTATTTCTGAAGTTTTTTGTAATCTTCCGTTAATTTTCGCATAGCATTAATGTTGAACAGAAAGTAACGCAACATAATTAAGCACAAAATAAATCATACCTTAAATGTTGAATTTCGGGTGAAAATAAGAGTTAAGGTTGCTGAAAAAAAGGTAAAAAGAAATAACTGTCACAAAAAATTCAAAATACTATTCACCCATCATTTTTCAAGAAAAAAAAAAATTAAACATAAATATTTATCCAAAAAAGGAGTTTAAATAAGACAGAATAAAGGAATAATATAATATAATCCGTAAAGTAATTGTTAAACATGATTATTTATACAAATGCTTCGAATCCTCTTGCGTTAAAGCTGTTAATTGTTGCAAAACTCGCAAAGAAAAATGTGGAGCTGAAAATTGTCAACTTAAATGGTAAATACCCAAAACTATCTCATTGGAAATTTGAAACTTAATTAACTTTACGTTTTATTGATAAATTCTTAAGAAGATTTCATTCATAAAACTGACATATCACAGATCATGATCCAAAAGGTTATAATATATTTATTTAATCTTTTCTGTTGATTGCCAACATAACTTAACACCTGTGCAAAAACAAAAATTACACATCAAATGCATTAATTATATTATTAAATTTTAGATACAGCGATTGGTGAACCTCGACACTTACCATGTTTAGAACTGGATGATGGGACTCAATTCTTCATGACCGATGCAGCAGTCAAGTTTTTAATGCACGGAATTGAAGAAGATGATAATACAAGAAGTCAATGGTTAGAATGGTCCACAACGAGATTAGCGCCTGCATTAGCGCAAAAAATGTCTGTGGGACATCGAGTCGATCAAAATGCTAACGTGGCTCTTAACTCATTAGTTAAACTTCTTGACGATACACTTAAAACGTCTAGTTTCATCACTGGAAGTAAAATTTCATCAGCCGACATAGCAATTTGGTGTCTTCTTACTCCAAACGCCACTCTCGAGGGATCTCATAATATTGAGAATGTTTTGAGATGGTATAAAGTCATTGAAAATCTTCCTGAAGTTAAGGAATCAATTGAAATCGTTGGTCCAATTAAGAACTTAAATTTTTCGTCACTGCTACAATGCAATCGTTTTGGTGGATTGCATCATGTAGAATTAATACCTCATATTGCTGAATTAGAAACAAAGGTTTTGGCAGAAACACCTTCTTTAATTTCTGAAACAATCCTTCCAGCTGAATTGGAACTTGCAAAGGCTTCATTTGTCTATGAAAGTGTCAAGCTAAAAGAAGAAGCCCGAACCATATTACCAAAAGCTAATGAACGCAATATTCTCATCACATCTGCGCTTCCTTATGTAAATAATGTCCCTCATTTAGGAAACATTATTGGATGTGTTTTATCAGCTGATATTTTTGCCCGTTATTCAAGGATGAGTGGATATAATACTTTATTTGTTTGCGGAACTGATGAGTATGGGACGGCTACTGAAACTAAAGCACTTTCTGAAAATCTAACATGCAAACAGATTTGCGATAAATATTTTGAAATTCATAATTCAATATATCGATGGTTTGGAATTGGATTTGATTATTTTGGGCGAACGACAACGAAAGAACAGACGGAAATTGTTCAAGGCCTCTTTCTCGATCTCTATAATCAGGGATTAATTGAAACTCAAGCTGTCGAACAGCTTCTTTGTCAAAAGTGTGACAGATTTCTTGCAGATAGATTTGTTGAAGGAACTTGTCCACACATTGGTTGTGGATATGAAGATGCGCGTGGAGATCAGTGCGATAAATGTGGAAAATTGATAAATGCAATTGAGTTAATAAGACCTAGATGTAAAGTCTGTAATACTTCACCCGTTGTTCGACAATCTGATCAACTCTTTTTAAATCTTCCAAAAATTGAACCAAAATTACGAGAATGGATTGAAACTGTCGAGAATGAATGGACAAATAATGCTAAAACAATCACCAAATCATGGCTGAAAGAAGGACTTAAAACCCGATGCATCACAAGAGATCTAAAATGGGGAATTCCTGTACCTTTAAAAGGCTATGAGAGCAAAGTGTTTTATGTATGGTTTGATGCTCCAATTGGATACATCTCAATTACTAGCAAATATACGAAAGATTGGAAAGAATGGTGGCAACCCAAAGATGATTCTAAGAAAATTGAATTGCTCCAATTTATGGCAAAAGATAATGTTCCTTTCCATTCTGTCATGTTTCCTTCAACCTTAATTGGTGTCAATAAAGGTCACACTCTTGTTTCTCGTATAATCTCTACAGAATATTTGAATTACGAGAGTGGTAAATTCAGTAAAAGTCGAGGAATTGGTGTGTTTGGAAATGATGCACAAAATACAGGAATTGAGAGCGATATTTGGAGATTTTATTTAGCTTCAATTCGACCTGAAGGTGGTCAGGATTCTTGCTTTAGTTGGGATGATTTAGCTGCAAGAAATAATTCAGAGTTGTTGAATAATCTTGGCAATTTTGTTAATCGTGCCCTCATGTTCTGTGAAAAGAATTTTAAGTCAACTATCTCCGACATCACTCTAAATAGCGATGATGTTAATTTATTAGCACTCATCAATAGAGAGTACAAAGGCTACATCTTGTCAATGGAAAAAGTAAGATATCGTGACGCAATTCGACATCTCCTAGGAATATCTCGACATGGTAACTTGTACCTTCAAACTGAACAGGTAAATTAAATATCTTAATTAATAATGCTATTATTAATATTTTATTGTTTTTATAGCCCTGGGTTTCGCTCAAAGGAACTGATGAACAAAAATCTAGAGCTGGAAGTGTTATAAGTTTGGCTTGTAATATTGCATGCTTGATATCGAAACTTCTGTTTCCAATCATGCCTTCAACATCTAGAAAAATACAGTCTCAATTGAACATTGATGTAACTCAAATTACGTTTAGTCCAAGGTATGCATCTTTTAAAAAACTTGTCTATATATTATTAATGTTTGCAATATTTTAGTAAACCACAAATGAGTCTTTTGCTGAAAAACGGTCACATTATTGGAAAACCAGCACCGATTTTCACAAAAATTGAGCAAAGCGATATCGACAAGTTTAAAAAGAAGTATGCAGGTGAACAGAATGGCAATAAAGGAACAAAATCCGCCGAGACAAAAGCATCTAAAACTGTCGAAGAATTGGAAAAGGCAATAGAAGAGCAAGGCAACAAGATTCGAGGTCTCAAGAAGAACAAAGTCGAAAAGAGTGTTTTACAACCGGAGATTAATATCTTATTAGCTTTAAAGAAGGATCTCGAAGAGAAAAAGAAGCAAGCACAATAAATCACGCTACAATGTATATTATACGCATTTGACATTATCACAAAAATAAAAGATACTAAATCTTAATCTCATAAATTTCTTATGTATTTCTATTGTGCTGCTGAAATAAATGATTTTCTCTTCACTTAATTGCCAATATAAATCAGAAATTGGAACAAATTGTCATTTTATTAAAAGCAACAAGCATACTTTATTCATTTCCTTTTATTGATAGAATTGAAAATCGAAGAGAAACAACACAGTTTATTTTATTTACTGGATTCATATTATTTGCTCCAGTATTAAGGATCATCTCCCGCCTTCATTTAAATTGATCATTTTACTCTATTCCATGCGCGTAGTTTAGTTTCCCTTGATCTACCAACGTGAAGTTCCTAGTTATTTGATTTTCTTCCAACCGTTATGCTATCTTTTTATTGGCAGCATCGTTTTGCTTGAAATGAGATCTGAAAGGAGCTGTTAATTGTATGTTTTCTATACTCCTTGACTGAATATCAAGTCACATCAATAAAAACTGTATTTTAAATTAATTAAATCACTATTGTCACTTACACAAACTTATCATGACACACACAACAAAACAATCTCTATTATAGTTTTCTTCGATGCTGATTGAGTGATGCATTTTCAAAGTTTTTTTGATCGGTTTTTTCTCTTCAAGATTGTAAGAAAAAGTTGAGAAATTTTTGGATAAAACTTGATCTGTTTCTTAAAATACTGAGTTTTTGCAAATATGAAGCATATAATTTGAAACAGTAAGAACTTAATCCTTTTTTTGACAATTCTCGATTGCAAAAATATTTGTTGTCATCAGAAAAGATTTTAAAGTTTTTCCAAATGTATGGTTGTTATCGATATTGACCATAGAAAGGAACTTGTAGCGTTCTAATTATAATATTTTTGACCATATTTAATTTTTTTATCATTCGTGGACAGAGACTTTTTATGCAAATTGTATAGGACTGACATTGAATTACAGTATTTTGATTGTTGTTGAGAACGTGGATTTTATAGGGTTCTCAATGTTGAAAATGTGTTTTTTTTTAATTGAAGAACTTTTGATGTGTTATGGTGAGTTGTGAGATGAATAAAGTTTATTGTGAAATTTGTTTCTACACAAACGGGGCGGGCCCGTTACGAGTCCTTAAACACACTAATAAATAATATAAAAAAAAAAACACAAAAGTCAACTTACAAAATTATAAAAAAAAATGTATGTGAAAAGCTCATTTTTGGTAGTATTAATAAAAATAAGTCTTGAGCATTAACTAGTGCGTTTAGATTCGATAAGTAGATAAGCTCATAATTAAACTACTTTAGTGAAAAAGCATATCAATAGAAAGAATCAAATTACTAGAATCAAAATGAAGAAAAATTGTATTTTTGTAACTAGAAGTATGATAGCCGACTAGAATAGTATTAAGTAGAATCAGTAGACTGTTGGAAGTGATAATTTTCAGTTGCTATTTATTTTACTGCTGTATTAGTTTAGATTAATGAACAATAATTTTTAATGGATATTCTAAAGATTATTCTACAAATTGGGTGTCCTTAAAGAAGAAAAGGAATGAATAATTCAGACAGATATCAAAATTTTGGCTGTTTTTATGACTGACACATAACAAGTAAATTCTAAACTGATGAATAAATTATTCTATTAAGAAAAGTGAAAAATACATTTCCTTAAAGTTTTAGAATGTTAAGTACGAAATGTTAGATCCAGTGATTTAAACGCACATGCAAATATTTAAGCAATAAATTATTTCTTATTAATGTATCGTTCATAACTCTAGTTCGATTCTATGAAGTTAAAATTTACATATATTACTTGAGTCTATATGAGTTTTCGACAAATATTTTCGAATGAATAAGAGTCTAATGTGTATCATATATTGCGTATTTACAGACAAAATGTTGTGAGTTTGCATGTTTCCGCGACCACAATTTTATAAAAAAAAAAAAATTATTATTTTCGATGATTCATTTCTTGTCGATTTACTAAAATTAAAAGAGGAATAAATATGAATAAATTGGAAGCACCTAACTCGCAAGTTTCTGGGAGTAGTATGCAGTCATCATCAAAATCACCGAACCCATCGCCAGAAATTGATGATGGAAGTTCTAAACGACAAGCCACACGGTGAGTTATGATTTCATAAATTTAATCATTAATGTTACTGCTTAACTGATTCGCTTGAAAACTATATACACATATACAGTACATGAATAATCGCGAATCATGTGTGTAAACTAGCTTCAATTCAATTCAATAGTATGTCTTCTTTAATTTCAGAGTATTCAAAAAGTCATCAGCAAATGGAAAAATTACAGTTTATTTGGGAAAAAGGGATTTCGTTGATCATATTTCACATGTTGATCCAATTGACGGTGTCGTATTGATTGATCCCGATTATATGAAAGAAAGAAAAGTATTTGGACATGTTTTAGCCGCATTTCGTTACGGCCGAGAAGATTTGGATGTATTAGGACTAACATTTCGCAAGGACTTATATTTAGCATCAGAACAAGTAAATAAATTAATAATATGAATCTATTGAAAATCGATCAATAATACTGGCAATGTTTCTTTATTCCTTGCTAGATATACCCTTGTCTAAAAGATATCAATGAAACAAGAGGATTAACCCGTCTACAAGAACGTTTAGTCAAAAAATTAGGTCCGAATGCATATCCTTTTTATTTTGAATTGCCTCCACATTGTCCAGCTTCAGTTTCTTTACAGCCAGGTAAATACATATTAGTTTTACTTCTACATGAAATTAATAACAAAGTCTTCTTTTCATTTAAAATAATATTGCAATTCTATAAATATGAATAGCTCCGGGTAAGACTTAGAAATGATATACGAAAATGCTTCATGCCACTAAACACCTTTTTTTTGTCAATTTGTATTCATTTTGTAGGAGACACGGGTAAACCTTGTGGAGTTGATTATGAACTGAAAGCATTTGTCGGAGATTGTTCAGAAGACAAACCACACAAACGAAATTCTGTTCGATTAGCTATCAGAAAAATCATGTATGCTCCATCTAAAATAGGAGAGCAACCTTCGATTGAAGTCAGCAAAGAATTTATGTTGAAACCAAATAAAATTCATTTGGAAGCGAGTTTAGATAAAGAGGTAAAAGAAAATTCTTATGTACTCATCTATGTATTGCACAACAAAAAAAACGCTTTTAGTATTATTACATTTCCATAACTTAATATTTTTCTCTCGCATACATGTGTTTACGCTTTTTTAAAGCATGAAATATAAAGTTAGAATCAAAATACGAACGTTCTACATTGAAGCATAAAGAAAATTCATAAATTCTTATTACCACATCATCTCGAGGGAATAGCTTGTGTTACATAAATTTTTTTTTTGTGTTTTGCATTTCAATTTTTATGTTGTACATGAGCAACAGGTTGAATTATTGATTCTTCAAATTTCCCAAATTTGTCAAAAAATCGTCAATATTCGTCACTTTTTATTATATAAGCAGTAGAATGAATATGTTTCCCTCTCGATTCTCTTACATTAAAAAAAATGGAAAATAACTTACTTGACATGATAAGGGTCAAGTATTTATCTGCTCGCACATCCGCTGCTTTCATTATCAAAATATGCTTCAAATCGGAAACATGCTAATTATGTTTAAAATATATTACAGCTTTATCATCATGGAGAAAGTATATCAGTAAACGTACACATTGCTAACAATTCCAGCAAGACGGTAAAAAAGATAAAAGTCTCAGTAAGACAATTTGCAGATATATGTTTGTTTTCCACTGCACAGTAAGTATATAGACAAATATTTACATTTTTTTTGTTATTACATTAAAAAATGCTTCGAGCTGATTTAATTATTTCCTTAATTTTTCGTTTTTTTATAGATACAAATGTTCAGTAGCAGAAGTCGAATCAGAGTAAGTAAATAATTATTCTATTTGCTCAAATATTTTATTAATTTTATTTTATAGGGACGGATGTCAAGTTCAGCCAGGCTTTACACTCTCTAAAGTGTTCGCGTTGACACCGTTATTAGCAAATAACAAGGACAAGTGGGGTTTAGCTCTGGATGGTCAATTGAAGCACGAAGATACCAATTTAGCATCAAGCACTTTGTACGTATAATGTTTGCATGTTATGTGCTTAAACCCACCCCATTTATAATCTAATGTTCATTATACAATCTTGTTAAATTCCTATAAATTTGTATTACATATTTTGGATTGACAGAATCACAGATCCAACTCAACGCGAAAATTTAGGAATAATCGTACAGTATAAAGTAAAAGTCAAATTGTGTATAACGCCTTTAGGAGGGTATGTTAATTTAATTAATTTTTTAAATGATGATGAACCTTAATTTTTATTTGTATTCTTCAAACAGTGATTTAGTGGCTGAATTGCCTTTTATTTTAATGAATCCGAAACCAGATGACATTGAGGATATCATCCTCAATGATTCAATTTCAACGAATAATCATGAGGTCAACAGTACTTCTGAAGAAAAACAGAGCTCTATGGGCAATAATAAGTCATCGATAGTTAAGGAAGATGTGCCGAATTTAATTCAACTTGACGGGTAAGTCATAATATGTGACAGAGATTCATTAGCGTTTGCATAAAATTTGTCGAATATTTCAGAGACGACACTCATGATGATGATATAATTTTTGAGGATTTCGCACGTTTGAGACTTAAAGGAGGTGAAACAGAGGCATAAATATGAAAAGTAGAAAAATACAATTATGAAAATTTTTACTAAAATCAGTAATTTGTATATGTATTCCATAAAAAGCATTATTATTTACTAATAATGTTTTGCATAATTTTATTCATATTTTCCCAAATGATATATAAATCACACACAAAATAAATTATGGCTTTATAGAATAAAATCTCTATATTATTTAGAGTGTAAAAAAGATTATCAATCGATTATGGTGATATTCTAGAGTTTAATACACAATCCAATTGAAATTGAAATCCAAATTAAAACTAGATTAATTAAGATAAATATTTCATTCTTAAAAACCATTGCCTATTAATGTGATAATTTGCTTCAATACAAGATATCTAGATATGTTTACAAAGCACTGAAACTTTTTCAGAAATGAGCATTATCAGAAAGTTAAAATTTGACAAAGATTTTATCCTAATTTTATCGTTTAAAAGAATTTAATTTTCTCGAGTATAGTATTGTGCAATATGTTTATAAAAATTAACAATTTCTTGCTGATCAGATGACAAAAAAAATGTGCTGACTGAGAATCTTAGAATTATTTTTAATGGACTAAAGCTTTTTGCCTTTAATTTCTTCACGATAAGAGAGCTTATAATCAATCATCTTGTTGCAATTCGTTTTGCCATAATCGATTGATAATATTAAATGTTGGGATTTTAATTAAATTTCTGGACACAAGAGAGATTCTATAGAGCTTTCTAATTTTATAGTATTATCCTTTCTCATGGGAGAGATTAATCAATTTATGGAGAAATATTTATACATGAATGTCCAGATATTAATTTTAATTCACAATAATTTTAATGATGAAAAAAAAATCAATTTTCCTAAAAATACAAGTTTGTATTTCATAAATCATTGTATGGAAGTTAATGTTTATTTTAAAAAAAATGTATAACTGTTTTAACAAATTATGTGCGGAATTAAAGTTTAAAACTTATTTTTATGTGGCATTTAAATGTTACAATCAATGATGTCTCCGAATTTAAGGATTATTTCTGTTTTTGAAAGAATTATCAAACATAATTTTGAATATCTTTATTATTATGATGCGATTTAACATTTATTTGATTATTGTAAAAATAACTGAAGTTATTAAATAAAAAAAAAAGTAAATAACAATTGGTGTATGGCAAACATTTGTATGTATTAATCTCAAAGTGTTTTCATTCTCGACAACTCAGTGATGAGTACAATTTACTACTTATTGTTATTCTTTTTGTTTTTTGATCTAGCAAAAATTACAATCTTTTGTATAAATCGAAAGTTTGAGAAACATTAAAGCACATGTTACATAATTCTCAACTCACTGACGTTGTTTTTAATTTATTACAGTTTTATGATGAGAATACGAATTCAAATCTTAAATTACGATTAAAATTGTGATTATTCTGCGCATTCACGTTTGTACTATAATGAATATCCTAACACAATTGACTAAATCATGCATGATGTTGTAAATACATCTTCTTAACTTGTTTAGGTCCTTGTGTATATAAATTAAAGAAGAGATTTCTCATACGTGCTCAAATTACCTGTTTGACTTTGTTCAGCTCATTTAAGTTTTACAAATTTTACTCTCTTAAACACTGACTGACATACTGCTAATTATCATTTATTTGTAGCTAGCTGAGATTCTCAGTATTTAAAGAGAGTCGGACAAGTGATGAAGCTGAAAGTGAATTTTTTGGTTGCAGTTTTGTTACTTCGAGATTTTATACTCAGTCAATCAGGTAAAAATCGAGATATGCAATTAATATTTAACTATTAGTAAGCAGTTTATTTTTCAAAGATGAAGATTTAAAAGTTGGGGACAAATGCGTCCGCGAATATGATAATGCTGATGGAGTTTGTATTACTAAATCGGAATGCTTACAAGCACATAAGGAGTATAAAAAGAAGAAAATTCCGGAGACATATTGTAATTTTATAGATGGGCAATTGATATTATGTTGTCCACAAACTGTTGAAAGGATCAGTGCACAAAGTTAGAGATAATTTAAAAATTATTTAAGCATATCCTCTATTAAACATTTTTGATTTATAGAATGTAAAGAATACAGTGAATATTCGAAAAAGAAAATATATGTGTGGGGATTACTATTGTCACAAGAATCAGATGCAACTGCAATTTCAATAACAAATTGTGATGAGAGTACGCCCTTGATTCGTGGCGGTAAGCTTCATAATTAATTGCACTTGATTTAGATTTAATGTTTCATAATTTTTTTTCGCTACAGGTAACGTTACAAAAACTGGTAAACATACTTTTTTGATCAATTACCATTTAATGACTTTCATTTTATTCATTTAATATCAACTCATCCATTCAGGCGAATTTCCGCACATGGCAGGTAAGAAAAAAAAATTCCTTTCCTCCTAAGATACCTATGTTTCTTGTCATTGCCTTAAAACATGTTCATGGTACAGGAAGGAACCTTGATAAGATATCAATTAATTTTAATCACTATAAATTTTAATAATCTATTAGCTATCGGTTGGAAGAAATCGAATAAAGTGTCTTTTAATTGCGGTGGAAGTTTGATATCAGAAAACTATGTTTTGAGTGCAGCTCATTGTGAAAAATCAGATGAAATTAGTCCAAGTTTTGTTCGATTAGGCGATCAGAATTTGAAAACTAAAACCGATAATGCTAATGAGACAGACATAAATATAGTAAAATTCATAAAGCATCCTCAACACAGTTACAGACTTAGCAAGAATGACATCGCGTTGATCAAATTGGAATATTCTGTCACGTATAAAAGCTATCTTAATTATTTAATGCACATTTTTGAAAATTTAAATTTACTTTTTTTTTCAATCTTAGCTTTACAAAATATATACGTCCAGCATGTCTTTGGCAATCGAGTTTTTTTAATTTTACTCAAGCTATTGCTACAGGTCAGACCAAAAAATAAAAAAATTCTGCTCTCCTATTAATCAGGTTAATTATTAGTTTAGGTTGGGGTGCTACTCAATATGGATCAAAAACATCTGATGAATTGATGAAAGTTGAGCTCGACATATTTGATAATAATAATTGTAATACAATTTTGTCTGATTCATTATCTCTAACTCCAGAGAAATATTTAGATAATTCGCAAATATGTGCAGGAATTCTAGAAGGTAAATTTGTGTTATTGGTTTTTTTTGAAGTAAAGCTCTGTATATTAAAAATTATTTATTTCAGGAGGAAAAGATACATGCCAGGTAATGAGTTATGATGAATTAAAAACTTAACAATAATTCAATATCATTTTGAAATCATGACTTCAATTCTAGGGAGATTCGGGAGGTAATTATGTTGTAGATATTTTTGATGTGCTCGTACTTAAAGTCTATTTCAAATCTTAAGCTCCATTGCAGATTTCATTCCGAGAAAACTCGTGCCTATATCACATTGTTGGAATTACAAGCTATGGGTCAGCATTATGTGGATCTCCTAACACTCCAGCCGTTTATTCAAGAGTGTCATATTATCTAGACTGGATTGAAAGTATCGTTTGGAAATGAATATTTATTGTGATTAGAAAAAAAAAGTTAACTATCGTATTATAATTTAAACATCTCGCTTCAATTAATTTGCGAATCGCTACTAAGGTTTTTTTTAACGCTTTTAATAATAGACTATAGAAAATTTTCTATAGCCGTTGAACACGTTTTCAATTTAAATCTCAAAATTATATTCCTAAAATCCACCCAACCTTTTAATACATTTATAAAAGAAAATGCACTTAGTACGTTACGCAAAAAAACGACTTTTTCACCCCCCCTCCCCCTTGTTACAACTCACAACCCCCCCCCCCCCCCCTTAATGTCCATAATTTATTTTATTTTGATAAAAAGGTGGGAATTTTAAAAAAATGTTTTTGGTGTGAATTTAGAATTACGTTTTTATTAATTTACGTTTTTTAGAACGTTACATACTTCTTGACACCCCCCCCCCCATATGTTACATTTTGTTACAATTTTTCAAACCCCCCTCCCCCCTAAAATGCGAACGTAATAAGTGAACGGCCCCTTAAAAGATAGTAAAAAATTTGATGCTGGACACAAAAATGGAAAATCAAGATAATTGAATGTGGAACTAATATTAAACATTGATTTTTGAACATTTCTTAGATAAACTAGTGTATCAGGTAGATACACAAAATGCTGATATATTCACGGGTGTGTTGCAAAGGATAGACAGAATGGATTTTTGCTTTTTTTGAAGCAACGACTGTTCCTACCTTCCCAAAAATAGCAGCACGGATCTAGTGCAGAAAACTAGAAGTATCTACGATGTCAGCTATCTTGCTCTCGGAAAACTCGAAAAATTGATTCTTCAATCTGAACTACAAAACAATAAATTTACACTTGAACAGAAGAAGCAAAAGTTTTTTGATAGCTCAGTTGTCAAGTTGGCAAGTTATGGGCCACAACAGCTAGTGCTTTCAATTTAGGATGACTCGTTAACTTTATATCTTCAAACTGATTCGCTAGCTTTATACCTTCAAACTTATGCTGAGCGAAGCTCCGCTGACTCGCTAGCTTTATACCTTCAAACTAATGCTGAGCAAATCTTGGTATATCCATAAGGGGCTGTTCACTTATTACGTAACGCGAAAAAATGACTTCTTCGTAACAAAATTTGTATGAAAAAAAAATTTCCTTGTTTGAACCGTAACAAAATCTTAGACCCCCCCCTCCCCCTAAAAGCGTTACGTAATAAGTGAATGGCCCCTAAGACATTTGATAAAATTTCGATTTATAATCATATTTTTGTAGTATCAAAAGGTTGTTAAAGTTGTAATTTTAGATCAATTTTTTTGGTAACAGAATTTATCTCAAAACTTACCATTTAATACTTAAAATGTTTTTTTTTTCTGAATTAAAAATATTTTAAGACGCTAATTAATTCCATTCCATTTTATCATGCATACAGTAACAATCGTCAAAACCTTCCATATAATACGTTTAATAAGATTATTTTCATTAAAAGATCTGCTCTATTTACAAACAGAAACTCGAAAAAAAAATCTATTCTAATGACAAAAAGCTTATTTAGAATCAAAAATGATCAAGCTTAATAGGAAATTCTTGAGCCGAAAGGAAAACTGACGATAAAAAATATAATGTCGATCACGAAGTCAGCATCGAACGAAACTATAGGAGAGATAAAAATTTATGAATGGATATAAAAAAGAAGAAAATGACTTTATCTCCAAAAACTCTTTGGTAAGTTTTGCATAGTCGATGTTGCTTCTTCGTTGATGATAGTTCTCTAACTTTTCGATATTAATTTATGTTAATGAAATAAGCTAATTATCATTGGGAAAAAACGCAGAGAGTAAAGTCAAGCAAGTTAGAAGAACAGACGGTACGCGAACGCATATAAAGATATTACGATTTAAAAAAAAAGTCCTACATGTTGATAAGTTATGAATTTGATAAAAGTGCGTCATTATCATGTAGCATAAGTACAGGGTATAAACTGTGACATAATGACATGCTTTACTTTCTTTGACTCGTTGACCACGTTTTCTCTTGAACTTGAAAAAAAACAAGCTTTTAATGCAAACCTTTATGCTCATTTGACGTTTCTGCGGTCAATATTTGCTTTAATATTTACAGGCATGCATGTATCAGTCAGTCTGTCAAACGAGTTTTCTTCTTTTTTGACTTAACTTCTTATGACAAAGACGTGCTAATAAAACAAGTCTCTCAGAAGTTTCGTATTGAGAGGATCTTTGTCTCTTAGGAGAATTGTAGCAGTCACAGTTGAATCATCTTTGTGAATTGAAGTGTTACTCAGCCTTTATTTTAATTTATTTATTTATGAATAGAAGAAACTAATAATAAGTACATAAGTTTCCAATATTTTATAGAAGATCAAAGTTCTTTAAGAATCATTTGTTGCTTTTCATATTTTAAATATATTATGAGAATAGCTTAATCCACAAACAACAGAGAATTTTAGAATGAGAACTTTTATATTTGCCTTTGTCATTCATATTTCGATATTTGGATCCATAAACTCACAATATCAGTTTAACAACCAGTTTCAATTAAATCCATACAATATTTTTGGTCAATTTGGCTATAATCAACAAAATCAGCGACCAACAACTCAACAGATATATCGACCGAACAACCAGCAAAATATTTACTATCCGCAATCCAATTTATATTATCCACAAAATACCCAAACTAATCGTCCGCCTGTACAAACAAGTCCTCATCCAAAACTTCGTTTAAGTGAAACAAAATGCAGTGAATATTTGAAAAAAGCTCAAAATTCTGTCTTAGTAGGTTCTCTTTCCTTAATACCAAACATTCAAGGCATTCAAACTGATAATTGTGATGCAAGTCAAGGCTTGATAATCGGTGGAGAAAATGCAAAGGCTGGTGAATTTCCTCATATGGCAGGTAAGGTCTATTTTGAACACTTGGTCAAGTTTTGGTGTATTTTTAAATATCTTAACATGTTTTTGTAGCTATTGGATATAAAAATTTGGACAACATTGTAAATTTTAAGTGTGGTGGATCATTAATCTCTGAACAATTTGTTTTAACTGCTGCACATTGTAGAACTGCTGGACGTGAAAAACCTTCAGTTGTTCGTCTTGGAGACTTAAATCTAAAAATTCGAGAACAGAATTCACCAGAAAAGGATGTAGCAATTGCTTCATTTATAAGTCATGAAAAATATGATCCAAACAAAAGTAAAAATGACATTGCTGTTGTGAAACTTGTGAGCAAGGTGACACTTTCAAAAGATATTCGACCAGCATGTCTAATGGTACCAACAAATACTGCCAACATTCAAAAAGCTATTGCTATTGGATTTGGATTAACTGAAGCTTTTACAGACCATACATCAGACATTATGCAGAAAGTTGAACTGCCCGTAAAAGACTTACAATCCTGTCGAAGACTTCTTGACGATCAGACTATAGACGAATCGCAAATTTGTGCTGGAGATAGTAAGTATTATTATTTTTTTTACACGCCTTGCGAAGCATTAAAATTTATCAAACAGATAATTTTCTTAAAACTGGTCAAGTTCTTTAATTCAGAGAAAAATAAATAATTAGCAATGATTCATCCAGGTATTTCTAACATTCCAAGTAATTAGTCAAAAGGTTCAAATTTCATAAAACGGAATTTCCTATATAACAAGTTATCATGAATTAAATTAAAACCTAAAAGATGAATTTTAGGATATGATTTGAAAATATAAATTATCTATTGAAATTACACTCCCCACTTCTCGCCCATTAAATTGAAAGGATGAGATATGTATATCAAATTTAAACAAAGTCCTAAGTTCCTATTAACATGATTTAATATAAATTCTAATTTTTTTCTTGCTTTAGGTGGAAAAGATACATGCCAGGTAGAGTAACTGTTTACATAGTTTCATACATTTAAATAAATCCACTGCTTTCTCTGCTTTCTCTTTTCATGAAATCAACAGGGAGATTCAGGAGGTCCACTTCAAATAGTATCAACAAAAAATAAATGTGTTTATATCATAATTGGAATAACAAGTTTCGGAAATACTTTCTGTGGAGCAGAAGATTCTCCTGGCGTATATACACGTGTTTCATATTATCTGGACTGGATTGAACAGAAAGTTTGGGGATCTGGATAGAATAATGTGCAATCTTGTTACTTAAAGTTTTAAAATAATAACTTATTAATATTAGTTTGAAGTTTGAATTTCACTTCTCTCTAGTTCTAATTCTCCTCAAAATGTGTGCTTTTACTAATTGTTCTTACGATGCAATTAACATCATCTAGTTTAGCTTCAACTTTATCTATACCTAGATTCTTTTTTTTCAAACTCTTTCTTAACGCATTTTGTAGTTGATCATTAAAAATCCAGTTTTTTGACTTCTTTCCCCTCTCTGAAAACGTTCATCAAAATCCAAGCATTTGAAAGCTCTCAATGTGTATCAGTTTCTTGTTAAGGCTGGAAAGTAAAAAAATATTTTTTAATTAAGTCAAAATGGAAATAAAACAAATAAAGCAATATAAACGTTATTGGCAATATTAGCTACACATTTTTTGACATCTATATCCATGAGTTTAAGTTTTTGGACAAAACTTTAATTTGAGGTGTGACTGAAGTATGACGGCATGAAATGTCCAATCACTTTGAAACTTTGCCAGAATTAAGTCCATATTACTCCAATTGCGTCTAATAAAAAAATTATTGTGCCCTACTTCCTGTGGCTGGATATAGCAGGTTTCATTTTTTAGAATTATGCCGTCGTACTTCAGGTTTTAAAACGGCATCATTTCCAAATATCAACTTTATTGGACATATTATACATCAAAATTGATCTCTTAATTACGTCCAATTGCGTCCTGCAAAAATTTTTGGAATTGGATACAACCAGCGAGAGTTATGGACTGTCAAAGTTTTGGACACTACTACTTGTGGACCAATATTTTTTTTGCCCAAATCCTATCATGTTAATATGTCTACTTTTCCTCAGCAGCTTAAATCTGATAGAATTATTTAAGTACAATTCATTTTGGATCTATGGCAGTTCCAGTTCCATCTCGTACTTGAATATCACCAAATGTTCAAAAGTTGACTAGTGGCATGTTGTATATTTAAAAATATCTATTTTTGGTCAGTGTTTCTAATCTGACGGAATTATCTTAGTCCAACCTGTAGTTTTCGACATATGGCAGTTCCAGCGTATTCTAACCAGTACCTGCACATATCGAAAGTTTTACTTTTACCTGTCTAATATATATTTTGACAGAGATTGTTATTACTTAAATTATAGCTAAGGTTATGTGCTACAAAACTACTTCTTTAGATTTTTAAATGTTATCATAGTTTTACGGAAAAACAAGAAAATTTGAAAATCAGTAATTTTTTTCAGTTTTGGTTCAAATCAATTTTCCGTAAAAACCAGTTGACGAAAAATTATGAAAAAAGTGGCAAATTTTAGCTTATTGTGATATCTACAGATATCAATCATTGGAAAATTTTCCCTAGTGGGAAAATTCTTGAGAAAATTGCAATGAATAAAAGGGACAATAAAATATTAATTTTTCTCTACATTCAAAGTGATTTTCCGAGTTTCCATAAGAAAATTATCTTACAAAAACTATTAGAAAAACTTTCCACTATGTTAACAATTTTAATACTTTTTACTTTATTTCGATAACTATTTTACTTTCTGAGTTATTAAATCACAAAATAGGACTAGAAAAATCGGAAATTTTTTAGAATACTCCCGAAAAAATAAAAAAATTATAAGATTGTAATTGAGATTTGGAAATGATGCCGTTTTAAAACCTGAAGTACGACGGCATAATTCTCAAAAATGGGACCTGCTATATCCACAGAAAGTAGGGCACAATTATTTTTTTGTTGGACGCAATTGGACGTAATATGGACTTAATTCTGGCAAAGTTTCAAAGTGATTGGACACTTCATGCTGCTTCATGCCGTCATACTTCAGTCACACGATTTGAGTGAAATTAAATGTGATGAATATTTTCAAAAGTCAAAGAACTTAACGATGACTAATTCTCTTTCGTTAATCATCCTTCTTATATAATTCAAGTAAATTCATGTATTTTTACTCAAGGCATAATTATAGGAGGCGAAAATGTAAAGGCTGGAGAATTTATGGTCGGTAAGCTTTAACTTTTGAGCTTGTTTATAAGTTTGAGATATTATTTAAATCTTTTACGGGGCCGTTCACTTATTACGTTACGCAAAAACACTTATTACGTTACAATATGTTACAGCTCACAACCCCCCCCCCCCCCCCCCCCTCTGAACGTTCATAATTTATTTTATCATTAAAAAGGTGAAAAATTTAAAAAAATGTTTTTTGAATGAATTTGTAAACAAATTTTTTTCGTGAGCTTTTTTTTAAGACAGGCGACAGTTAGAACGTTACATACTTCTTGACCCCCCCCCCCCCCCCTATGTTACATTTTGTTACAATTTTTCAAACCACCCCTCCCCCCTAAAATGCGAACGTAATAAGTGAACGGCCCCTAACATTGTTGTAGCTATTGAAAACAGCAATCGAAACAATGAGATTGATTTCAAATCAGGTGCATCATTGATTTCTGAGCAGCATGTCATTACAGCAGTAGAATGCAGTAAATCAGATATAATGAAACCATTTTTAGTTCTCTAGGTGATATAAATTTAAAATTAAAGGAAGAATATCTTCCAGAAAAGGATGCTAATACCAATAGCCAAATTCATAATTCACGAAAAATACATGGCAAATGAGAAGCACCATGACATAATAAATCTAGCAAATATTGTTCCATTTTCAAAATATATTCGACCGGCATGTCTATCCTTAGAAACCTTCTGCCAGTTCTGGATATTAAGGACTCTAGCGTTCTTTTCAACACATCCAATCCACGAGTTCTTTGGTCTCCATAAAGTCTGCTACTGTCACTTTTAATACTGGGGAATCTTGTGAGCGTCTGAACACATACCCAACCCATCTCAAGAGTTTGTTTTTACGAAACCACACATGTGTGTATGCATTAATTGGAAAAACAAGCTATGGGAACATACTGTTTGGGTTTGAAGATTTTCCTGGAATATATACTATATAATAATATAGAAAAAAAGGTTTGGGGGCCTCATTAAAGTTTGTTAGCTTTTTCAGCCCAAATCATATAAAGTCAAAAAAAAAACTTATACTCAATTTGAAATTTTATTTGTCTTTTAAACTTTAAATATATTAAAATTGAAATTAACTTAAGTAAACTTCATTTGATAATACATATTTCCCAAAATAGACAGTTTCTTTTGCATAGTATTTCGAAGTGGATTGATAAATTGTTCTGAAGCATGAAGTTCCACGTTCGAATCTGGATTGTAAGAATTAAGACCTTTAGCAACGAAGAAATTCCACACACATTCTTTGAGTACATAAGCAATTTCACTTGGTTCAAGATAAACAACAACAATATGAAGACTATTTAAAGGAGGTGGAAGCAATTTTGCTAATGACAACAACTCGAGAAATTTGACAGTAAAAAACATTAGTTCATCGTTATTTTCATTTCGATTTTCAGCTTTAGCTCTCCAATGATGCATTATTGAAGCACACAATGAACGTAGAAAGACGCTGCAATTGCACCATAATGGAACTCTGTATTGAGCAAGTAATCCTAAAATAGACCATAAGATTGGGCAGTTTTTAAAGATTCGTCGTACATGTAAATCACGTTCCATGGTAACTTTTGTGAAATCTTCCTCAATTGGCCAATGAATTGCATTATACATTACATCACTGGATACAAGCTCGACAAGTAACTGAGAAACATTGCATAGTCCATCGATAATTTTAGATTCTTCTTCATCAGACTCATCTTGACAGCATGAAACAATTGCCTTAATGTAAAAATTCTTAACTTCCTCGTCAACATCATTCACATGCTCGTTCAAATGCTGAATAGATTTAGAGATTCCAGATCCAATTATGCCAGAATGTAATAAAATTGATGATTTAGAGAAATTTAACGAAATGATTTGCTTTTGATTCATTTTTAATAATGACGTTTCCTTTTTCTTTGTATATTTATGCTCACAAGTAGTTTGAATTAATCCCTTTGGCTTAAAAATGTCTGTATAAAGGAATAAAGCTCCTTCCAATAAATCTCTTGTTGCTACATTCCTTATTCCTTTTTTGCCTGAACATTGTTTTGAAAGCAAATTAAAGCAACGCTCCATAATGATTGATTTTGTCAGTGAATCTGTTTCCTTTAAGCTCCAGAAGAAGTACTGGATAGTAATTTTCTCGCATCGTGCAGCATTAGAGACATTAATTACTTTCATATTAAGATGATTAATTAAATTTGTCATCATATGAATTTGATCTTTTGTTCCAAAAATACATTCACTATCTATGTCTGCAATTTGCATTGGATCATCCATGTTTTCATTGTCAGCATCATTTTTTACAACCTTTTGGTTAACATTATCTGAAATCAGCATGACTTTTCGGAGTAAATTTTCCCAAATTTGAAGAGTTATACGAAATGATGATTGTACAGCATTAGTGACTAAGTTTCGTTTTAAAAAAGTACATTGGCCATCTTTTTCAAGTGACATTATATCTACTAGATTTTTAATGGTAAAGTAGCACTTGTTTTCCAATTTTAAATTGTTTAAATCGATTGCTAACTGCTGAAGTACATGTGAAATAACTATATTAATATCCGGAGATTCACTACTACCGATATTCTCATCAAGCAATCTAATTACAGCATTCATAATGTGCGGACTTGTTAACGTATTCTCCGAAAGTAATTTCTCAATCGATTTGCTGAATATAACTGGATTTCTCTGATTGCTTGCTAGTAAAATTAGTCTAATTGCTGTCTGTTGAAATACTTTTTTATGACTTGTACATGCATTCCATAAAAATGGCCAATTCTTTTCTTTTCGAATATCTATAACTAATGGACATGTTTTATCATCATTATATATCATGGACTCAAGTTCAAGAATCACCAATTCCACAAGTTCCACACACCAAAGATTATTTTCAAAATTATCCATTAATGTTAATATCAACTTTGTTCCATTTTCCTTTGAACGCAAGATCAGTTCTGGAAATATGTCATGTAATTTGTCTGGATTATAATCCAGTGGTCTTAAGATAATTTGTCGTTTAATTTTCTCAATAAAATTAACATAATCCAGCTCAACGTATTCTAGAAATACATTTAAAATGCATTGGGCATATATTTCCGACTTACTGGCAAGTCGTATTAGATTGGGAATGTAATCTTTTGATTTAAGTTCATTTACATCTCCATTTAAAGCCTCTTCCACGATTTCACGAATAAGAACTTTTAGTTTTTGATCACCAGAATTTGAGAGATACTCAAGTACAGTCACAGTCGATGGTATAAATGCAGGCGTTAACATTGATGGCATTCGTAAAATGTTTGATATAAACTTGATTGGAAATAATGAGCTTAAATGAGCGACACACCAATCAAAATTGGGTCTGTTATCTACAAAAACATTTTCAAGATCAAAAATAAATCTCTTCATTTCAGTGTCATCAAACGAATTAAAGCACAATCCACATAGTTCCAAAAGAATTTTAGTTGCAGTACATCCTAGCCAGAGATTACAGGAACCCTTAAAATCCAGATTAAGCAATTTTGCATATTCAACAGATGGCTTTATAAGCTTTGAAAGAGTCCATTGAGAAACATAAGTCGGTGCCCATGATTGTTCAAAAATCAATTTTTCAAGACCTTCCTTAATCATCGAAACAATCAATTCATCAGATTCATTTAAAGATGCACTTTTCTGCAAATATTCAAAATTTCAATAAATAGCTATTTGTTTTTTGTGTGCTGGATGTTAATAACTTACATCTTTGACATAGTTTGTGATATAAGTGTCAATGATTATTGAAAAGTATTCAAAGATACAATCTCTTAGAACTGGAAGTTCTTCTAACAGCTTAAGTGCAATTTTGACAAGTTGAATTGCTATAATAGAAAAAATTATTGCTATCGAATTTAAAAAAAACTGAAAAGAAATGGATTACCTTCTGTTGGATCATCCTTATGATACAAGTTCTTCCCCAAAGCAAATTTCTGTATTTCCAGAAGTAAATTTTGATTATTTTGATTCATCCTGAACTATTTTAATGTTTTTAATCAACCTTTAATATTTTTTTTTTTGAAGGAAATTCTTGTTTACAAATAGAGTTGTTATTGCGGTTCGCAAAAAAATGAGCTTTTAAAAGCTCCAGACAAAAAGTATAGATAAGCGATTCGCATTGCAAGTAAAAATTATTCCCAACTATAAATCTCAAGTTTTGTCTTTAATTAAAGTGTAAGATGAGCAATACGGTCGAAAAAGTAATTGACTGGCAAGAAGAAGCAGAAGGTGTCATAAATGATATAAAAAATCATGTTAAACTTATAGAAATATCGAGTAAATTAATAAGTAATACATGTCTAAATTTACTTCATTTCTGGGCATTAAAGTATTGAACATTTTAAATATTAGGCGATGGAAGTAATGTCTTTCTAAATATAGTTCTTTTAGAGGGGAAGGTAAGATAATCTGTTTTTTAAGTTTAAGTATGTTGTTTGACTTAATAAAGAATATTAAAAAATTAAACGTAATGATAATATTTCTTTCAATTAACTAGAGTATGACAGTTCTGTTGGACAGTCAAGGTTTTCATATTGTGTCTGAAAATGAATTGGATACATGTGAGATGGAAAATATCGAGTCGTTTGAGACCATTTACTCTTTAATGGAGCAACATAGCAAGGAGTACACGAAATCTTTTGGAAACGAGTTAATAAAGAAATTGGAGGAGGTTCAATAATCATCCTGATTTATTGATTGAGAGGAATGATTCTATAAGCCATCATTTTGCCAAATAAATCTTTTGCTGGAAGCTATTTTTATTAGAAATAATAATATATTGCAAGTAGTTGACACGAGATAATGTATGTCATTAACAATAATTACATTGATAACGTTGAATTTTATTCGAACTTTATCGACCAATTAAAAGTACGTATTTTACATTTAAAAAAAATATGCAATAGGTACCAAAATTAACAGTCAAAATATAGCATTTCAATCATCAATTAGGCATAGTTATCCTAAAACGAATTAAGAGGTTTTAATTGTAAAAAATAAATTCTAATGATAGATTTGTATTCTTATAGTTCTATGTCAGATTTTAGATTACCTATGTCCGATAGCTTGTGTAAAGTTTCTTTGAAATAATTTTAGTAGATTTTTATAGATTCTGATAGATTCATTCACCAGAAAACTAAAAGGATTCGTAAAACATGAATAAAATAATAAAGTGACTTAAAGACTAGCACATTAGCAACGACAACAACGGTTTTTTTCGCTAATGTTTTAAGTCAGAATTAAAAGCATAAAACATTACATTTAATGACTTTTTTGTTTTATTTCAGATAAATTAACTTTTCACTTCGAATCTCTCTTTGTTCAAGCTTTGAATAAATATGTATGATATAAAGAATTTCCGTAAACATTAACTAATCTAAAATCTCCAATTAATTAAACCAATCATACCCTCGTTCTTTTATCTTCAATTCTGCTAACTAGACTTGATATCACTGGTAAATTAAGGAAATTACCAACGAATGGAACCCTTCTTAAAAATTCTATTGTTGCGGGTAGAAATCCCCCAAATAATAAAATAAATCCATAGGTTTCAACAATCATCCCAATTAATGGATATCCTAAGAGAACGACTGTAATTCCCAAGAAAAATGCTACTGTTGCTTTTATCTTGTGTTTTTGAAAGAAAAAGTTGTATGTTCTCCTGAATCCTATAATGCATGTTAGTCCTGATATAAAGAGAATCTAAAACGGAATCAAAAGAATTTTTTTCTGGATCATTAATCAAGACTGGTAATTAAGGCTTACATTTCCTATTGCCAAAAGTCCTCTATCAAAAATCATCAGCACTCCAAGAAACAGAAAGGCTATACCGAATCCAGCTAATCCGAGACCAATTTCTTTAAATAAATAATAAACAGTCAGCAATAAGTTCAGTTTTGAAATTTTTCGTACCTACTTTGTAAATCTGTGACTTCAAACATGGCTCGTCTATTTGTTTTTTCTTTCTTGAGCCTATTTATTAATTCAGATTGTTGTTATCTACTCCACAAGTTGGTAAATCTTATTAATTCAATAAATTTTTATGAAACTCGATGATTTTGACAACACAACATTTATGGGTGCGTCTAGCATAAATGACTGATTAAAATCAAACATTCAAACAAATTGAGTAGCTTTTTCAGTTTATTATTAAACAATATAGATTAACATTATAGTAAATAGTTTTTAGAGCCCGGAATTAAAGCTTAAATTTTAAAATTATACCTGAGTTTACATGCAATCATTTTTAACGATTTAATTTTACTTGAAATTTTTGCGCCGTTTAACGTTTTTAACGAGTTTTAAAAAAAAAATCTTACACATTGTCCAAAGTTTTAACGGTTGGTTTTATAACAGTTTCATGTAAAAGTTGGTACATGCCACGTGTTCGGAAGGATCAGCGACATATATGTTGTTCAAATTTTGATAAAATCTTTTACTACATTATTTTTGTCACATATTTTTTTAAAAACATGCCTTAGTGCGCTTTAGACAATATTGAGTAAGAAAAAACTTATGATAGCTACTTACTTGTATACATGTGTTGTTTTTTTATATTGAAATTAAAATTTTAATTCATCTGTAATCAGTAAACATTGGAAAGCAGCTCTGGAAGCTTTTAGTGTAGTATTAAGTAATTTAAAAATTCATCATCTCGAAATTTTTATAAGTTTTTTCTATCATACATAAAAGGTGAGTTTATTTAAATTTATAGTCAAATCACGAGTTCTTATCCAATGTTCTTACCTGTGGTATTTAAATAAAATTGCATAATAATGCAAATGATTTTCTAAAAAGCTGGTTGAGCTGCCTACACATCAAATAGAAATATCAGAATATTAATATATGATCATATTGAAACGCAATTTATCATGTAAATATACATATTTTGTGTGCTTGAAATCACGTTATTTAAAATTAGCGAATATTGAACTCTTATTTTGTGCTGAGCTTGTCAAGCGCTTATCGTCGTTATTACTAAATACTACATCATACCAAAGCCATAAATCTGTCAAATTCACTTAAACAAAAGAAGCCAATATCTCTTATCAGGATCAACATAATACAGTTTTGCTTTTGGGTGTTTATTCAGAGATTTATCAAAGTACTTGAGGATGAAAGAAATGCTCCAAATTTAAAGTACAATGTGCTATTGCTGACTAATCTAGTGATATTGTCAACTCAATTCTAATGATATTTTATTTATTTTTTTCGTTTTAGATTCCTTTTATGCTTGAGTAACATAAACTATTTCTGGATTAAATTTAAACCTTAGTAAAATGGCACAAAAACGAGAGGAGCAGTCGCTCTTAGGACGGTCTACGGAACCTTCTATCATATCGAGTAAGATTACGCAAATAAAAGCGGTATTATATTCGAATTCAACATTTTATTCATCTATTATTTACCAAATCGTAATGTGTAACATGATCATTGACCTAAAGAGCTCGTATTAAATAACAGTCTCAAATTTCTCAAAACTTTAATTTATATTAACATTAGCAAATAGCACGTGCTGATAACTAATAGATTTCCTTAGAAAATGTCAGAAAAGTTAAATGTAAAATTACTCCTTATAATTTAATTTTTGACTGAAGAAATAAGTAATAATATCTAAATTCTTATAACAGGAATTGAAGCCGATGTTTTCAGCTTATATCAATTTTTTGATTTTTTTTCGTAGAAAAAAGCCATTTAGAATCCAGTTCATATATTAGAACTGAATTGTACATGCTTTACTATGATTCTATGTAACATTCTGTCAGCGTTTAGGTAAAGGAAGCTCAGAATTTTAAGTAAGCCGCTTTTTTCCGAAAAAAGAACAAAAATTGATTTAAGTCAAAAACATCGGCTTGGATCTATGCTTGAAACAAAGAACAAATTTTACATCTTTCATCAAGCTCAAAATTGTATACGACAACAGAGTATAGAAATGAACTCCTTCTGTTGACGGAAATAATTTCTTATCGAATTTTTGCTGTATTTTACTTGTTTTTAACAATTTAAATGAACGTAGATTCATGTTTTTTTCAGTAAAATAGCAAGACAAAGAAATCATGCAAGAATCTGAAAACGATTTGTGTCCAATTACTAAAATATTTGATCGCCTTCAGATTATTGTTTAATATGAGCTAAAATTACAATATATTTATGATATGACCCTTTAGTGTGACTGATCAAGACTGCAAAAATACGATTTTAAAAATAAATTCGTGTGGATATTTCTGACCATTGGATACAGTTTTATCACAAAATCAGGTTTCATTCGTATCCCTTTTTCACGAAAGGCAAAAATTTCGCAGTTTGCAAATAAAAGAGGCTGATGATAAATAATTATAACAAAAGAAAACTTCATAAAAGAATGTTAAAAACGAAAAAAAATCTTGCAAGCATGTATGCTTGCTTGTATTTGTTGATGTAGACGACTGACGGCTACCGACTGTTTAAAATATTTTATGCTTATTTTTCTTTTAAAGTGTATTCATGATCATGATTTTTCTTTCTGTAATCAGTTTTGACAAAACCTTGGTGCACTAAAGAAGTAGACAAATTTCGTATCATGACTTCACTCTATTTGTTTGTAAAGCGATGTACTAAAGTGAAATTTAATTAATTTTTTTAAAATTATGTTGCTTATATTTGTTTAAATTCTGTTGAATAGGTCGAAATAATTCAACAGAACCTGTAAAGCTAACGCCATCGTGGGAAGCGCGTAATGACTTACCAGAAGATGAATTGAATTTTAGAAGCTTGACTATGGACCGAGTAAAAATGGAAATGCAGCCACCTTCCGATAGATTCAAAATAATTTTCTTCATTTTACTTTTTCATGGAATTGGAACTTTAACTGTAAGTACGAATCTAGTTCTTCAAACTTATTCTAAGCTAATCGATGGAGATTTTCTAGCCGTGGAATATGTTTATTACTGCAAAAGAGTACTTTGTGGACTATAAACTCTCACCAAATTACACTGGAACTAATAATACAGAATATGCAGCAAATTTCATGCCTTATTTAACGTTCGCGTCACAAATTCCTAATGTACTTTTCAATTGGATGAACATATTTGTTAACCTAGGGTAAATATCAATCACAGAATTTGTGAACAATTTAAATTAACCTAATATAATAACTCAATTAATTTATGAATCTATTTTCAATTGCCTATTTTTTGTTTAAATTAGGGGCGATCTGACGAAACGAGTTGTTTGGAGTTTAATAATTGAGATTATTTTGTTTTTAATAACCGTTATACTTGCTATGGTTGATTCATCTCAATGGCCAGGGACATTTTTTTGGGTTACAATGGCATCAGTTGTTGCACTCAACAGTAAGTGTCGTTTCTTTTTTACCACGTTTTTCTTAACTTGCTTTCTTGTTAAATCATAAATCAAACGTGACCAAAATCGACGTTAATGTATAATCTTTCGGAAGATCCGATAGACATCGATTTTTAATCCATTATGGTTACATTTGAAATTGTTATGATTTTAATCGTGACATCTTTTTTAATTATCCACAGTGTTTGGAGGAATATTTCAAAATACAGTTTATGGAATGGCAGCTAAACTTCCATCAAAATACACAGGAGCTGTAGTGTTGGGATCAAATATTAGTGGAACATTTGCAACAAGCATTAGCATTATGAGTGGTTTTATATGGTCATCAGTTAGAAAAGCAGCAATTTATTACTTTATAACAGCAATGTTTGTTATTCTGATATGTTTTGATACGTTTTTTGCAATGCCTTTAAACAGGTTTTATCGATTTCATGAAATGCAAAGTGAAAAAATGCAAGAAAAATCGCGTAGATCAAATATCACTGGAAGTGGAAAACCACCATATTGGACAATTTTCAAACAATGTTTTCCACAGCTATTCAATGTTTTCATGATCTTCTTCGTTACATTATCAGTTTTTCCTACAGTACACTCGGATATAAAGCCAATGAACGACGATTTGTTTGGAATAATCAGTAACAAATACTTTACAACAATCACTTGCTTCTTAACATTTAATGTCTTTGCAATGTTGGGAAGTTTATTGACTTCTTGGGTTCAATGGGTATGTTCTAATAATATATAATATTTAAAATAATGTTCAATTAATAATTTATTTCATCTAGCCTTCGCCGAAATTCCTTGTATGGCCAGTTCTTCTTCGTATTGTTTTTATACCATTGTTCTTAATATGTAACTATCATCCGCTTGGAGTATCGAGAGTTCTACCAGTTTATATTAAAGATGACTATGTTTATTGGTCTATTGCTATATTAATGAGCTTTTCTTCAGGATATTTGAGTTCCCTCGCTATGATGTATGCACCAATATCACAATCAAATCCAGTTTATCAAGTTAAAGCTGGAATGATGGCAGCTGCAATGTTAATTTCCGGAATTTTTGGTGGGATCATGTTTTCCTTCTTGCCTCCTATTATAGTTCAGTATAATTTTGAAAGCCTTTTTTCTTAGAGGTTTTTTGTTTTATTCAACTAAGCAAATTTTTAGCGCATTTTTGAAACTTGTTTCGAAAAGGTAGCTTAATAATCCACTTTGTTCGCTCGTTCGGGGCAACAAAAACTTTTTAATCAGACATCGTAGAGAGCTCGGGTTTGTTTTACTGCCCCACAATTAAGTGCCCTAAATTTATATGTTCCATTGTATCAACTTTCCCAATATTTTTGTCCCAAATTTTATGCATTTAATTTTTTTAAATGCAAAATATCCGATCGGGATAAAAATCTCAAATTTCTACTCCAAAATGTTCATTACTTTTTGTAGAAATCTGAAGTACATGATTTTAGATTTTCATCCTGATTTTCCATAATATTTCAATGAGCTTATTTTGGTTAAAATTAATAGCATCAATTCAAAAATTAATAATCTGTATTCTAAAATATTTTCTTATTAAATTATTAATGAACAATAGTTTTTTTGTGAAGTTTAACGATTTTAGAATATTTGATAGAAATGTTTCAAAATCTCAATTTTATCAAAGAATCTGGTTTTGAAGTTTCTATAGTATATAAGATTTAAGCAAATTCATATTTGTTCTAATGTTGTTTTTAAAATTTTTTTTTGATGCATCAGATAAATAATTATATTTTGATAAATATGTTAATAGTTTATAATGACAGAAAACTTATAATAATTTGTTTGGATGCTGATAAAAATTTTGCTTTAATTCATTTTTCAATATTTTGTCTGTTTTTATATAAGTTAAGGTCGGACCAGATTCCATGATTTCAACGATGTTTTGTTTTCAAAAATCAAAAACAAAGAAATTTTTAAATCCATCATTTTTCCTTTAAGTTGCAAAAGCTATTGAAATCAAAAATTATAATTTAAAATTAAAAAATTAATTTTGGATTGAAAATCTAAAATTCATTTCTTTTAAAGAATTAAACTTTTAACAGTCCCTTAAATTTAAAAATATCCGAAACGAAAAACAAAATCGTCGAAGAAAAACAAAAGTTAAAAGCGATTTAATTTTTTTACAATTCAAAATTTTGACCTCTTCAAAAATGATGCAACCCTTAAGTACAAAAAACCCTTTAAAGCTTCATTGATTTTTATGAGCTACAAAACTAGATGCCAAGCTTATTTTTGAACAGTGGATAACTTTATGTTTGGCTACCATTTTAAGATAAAAGTTGAAATATTTATGAAATAGCCATTTTTTAAAAAATTTGGGAAGTTTACGCATGAGAAATTGTATTTGGGGCAATCAATACATTAGGGCAGTTGTTTGTGGGATAAATATAATGGGGCAGTTAAGCCTTGGGCAACCATGAATTCCATGGAATTTTTTTGCCTTACGTAGTTTATTATATTAACTTACGTCCATTTTAAACAACTCAATATTTTGTACGTAATTTGATAAATTCTGGAAAAACATCATGTAATGAGTTCAAATGCTTTTAAGGGTATATATATATATATATATATATATATATTATAAATTGCTATTTATTTCGCCTTAAGTTGTTAATCAAACACTGATCGTTGCTATAAAAATGCGCTGGAGTCCCTTGATCAATAACACGAGGACTTTTGTAATTTTTTGAAATACAAATCACTCATTCTTTTTACATTTAAAAAGCATTTCATGCAATAAAAATTGTAAATTTACGAATTCAAAAATTACTGATTGAAATGTTAAATGAAAGTAACCGATGAACATGGAAATAATTTTGTCAGTGGATTTGTAAAAATGTGCTTTAGTCAATCATGATGACTTAATATTAATTATTTTTAAGCCTTTGACACTCAAGATTACATTTAGGGATTTAAGAAGGAAATTATAGAAAAATTTGAGTAATTCTCTAGAATTGACCTTGAGTGTTAATGCTTTAATTTCTTTCATATATTTTGTAATTTTTTTTTGAATTGGAATTCTTTAAAATATGTTTTTATACGTAATTTAAATTGCAAGTCAAATCTTCCGTACGTTCAGCTTTTCGAATGCCTCTAATGCACGAAAACGTCTCGAAAAAGTTATGGAATGCTGAAGAAAACAGCGAATTTTATTTTATAAATAAGATAAGATTTTTTTGCAAAATTTAAAGTAAAATCCTTAACTGTTTTGAAAGAATTCTGGAAAGTATACTAAACATAACATATTTGGAACTGTATTAGATTTTTTTTTATATATTGATTTTCACTAACAAAAATATGTGCTAAAAGCATTTAGTGAGTAAAAATACCAAAAATTTATAATCCACTTTAATTCATCGCTAACATTCATTATTATTCATCAATTCTTCAATTCCTTTTTTTTCGTTATTCGAAAATAAACTTACTCTTGTGAGAACATGCCGACAATAAGACTTATGAAACTGAAATATCCAAAATGTAACCTCATGCAGACAATGATATAAAAGCTTAAAAATCTCGCACAACAATTTAATTAATAATTAAAGATCAAAAAGTTAAAATAGTAAAAATAATTTTCTCCTAACGCATATAACATACAACAATTATAGTACATTTATAGAAAAAGACTGTAGAAGTAATTTTTTTGTCAACATAAATTGAATTTAAGGAATAAATTTTTATTAATTTTCCATAATTAAATTAATAACATGATGTTTGGATTGTATATTTCTTTCAGTTGGACCACAATATTATCATTGGAAAAAGGTACTTCCTTCAATCACTTAAAAAAACGTTCGGACTTACTTCTGAGGTATATAGATTTCATAAGGGTTCAGAAGTCCGAAAATAATTAAATTTATTTTGTAAACCTTTTGATTTTGCTATTCGATAGAATTATTACTTTATAAAAAGTAAAAAAAAAAATTTGATCCTAGTATTTTTAAAATTTTGAGCAATCATATTTTTTTGTCAGGTATGAGGCTGAGCCAAGCTTACTCTATGACGACGAATACATCTGCATTTGGTGGACGCAATAGAATGTAATATGGACATAATTCTGGGAAAGTTTTAACACTTCATTCCGTCGTACTTGAGTCACACTATGCAATTGTTGCATGCCTTAGATCCTACTAGATATTGGTTTTTGGTTTCAGACATGATATGACTTGGCAATAAATTTACTGATCTATCCAAGAATTTTCGGCATATTCAAAACATTATTTTGTTAAGAAGAAACTGTAAATGTATGTTTGTATGTACAAATGATTCCTATTTTAGGATACTTTGCATAAAACCAGTTTATTGAAGCTATTCACGCAACTGTGATTTTGTGACTCAATTAACAAAGTAAATAAGCTGTTGAATTTTGATTTGATAATTATCAAAAATCTAGCTTTCGCAGAAGCTTCCTAATGTCATATGCTCAAATAAAATTACCTAAAAGCATTATGAATTAGAATTATTTATATTTTGCCAGTTTTATCGTCATTTACCACGAAACAAACATGTGCATTTTTCTGTTACAAGCTAAATCACTTCTTGTCATTTATTTCCATCAAATGTCGCTGATAAGAATTATGGTGATTAATATAAAACTGATCAGAAAGCTAGTGACAAAGAAGAGTACATAAGTACGAGAGAATTGAAGAGAGAAATGTGAGAGATTAAAATGTTTGGGGGAAGAAAAGTAGTGAAAATTTTCTTTCTCACTGTTAGTAAAATTTATCACGTGGAAAATACGTTCGTCGTATTTCATTCGGCTTTATTTTTTTTATGCTACACTCTTCAACAGAATCTCGTCATTCCTTTTCATTCAATTCTATTCGAAACAGTTGAGAAGAAATGAAAAATGAAATTTTTCAGCAACTGAAAGGAAGGACAGAGAGAGAGAGTGTGTGTATAAAATGAAATGTTAAAATGTTTGTCGCAACAGTTGAATTGCTCAACTGACAACAGTGATATGTGTAGAAAAAGTATCTAGTATTATAAAAATAATCAAGAAATTTGTATACGTATATGAGCTTAATTACTGCAGATACTATACGTATTACTATACTGCATGCAAATTAAGGTAAAGTTCATATTTTATAAATTTGTGTACAGATTAATCAAGCAGGATGATTTAAGTTGTTTTAATAAGTGATAATGTGAAGAATGATAAGGATGTCTAATTAAAATTCATTTTGCCTTAATTATCAAACATTCTGTGTTTGTTATGAAAATTCCAAACAACTTAAAACTTTGAAAAATAGTTTCCTCAACTTAAATAAACTCTGAAATGTTTAAAAATCAAAGAATGTTCGAAATCAATCTTAAGTTTTTTTTTTCTTCTATAAAGTAACATAAAGAATCAGGAAGTTAATTTGCAAAAGCATCTTGTTGGCAAACAATTTACTCTATTTAACATGCTTTTGTTGATGTAAGCAACAAATAATCAAGTTGAATGCTGAACTAGTACAAACATTAAACATTACAAAGTTACATTTTATGATTTTGCAGATTTTAGTTGCTAAAACTAATATGATTTTCCAGTTAAAATTTATCCTCGATTGGAATTGTTATCTTGTTCAATAGTGTTAATGAGATCTTTGAATGATTTAAAATTCTAATGAATTTTTAATTGTAATTATAAACTTCTTTTGAAGAACTGAAAGGATTAACACATTTTCTGTAATCAGCTCTAATCATGCTTGAGTCATAATGATTTCTAAGCTAATTGTTTCTTTACCATAGATTGCCCTTTTATATTTAAAAAAATCATCCACAATTAAGATATTTTTAACCAACGACTGCAAGCAAGAACTCATTTTCGGAAATAGGTACTTCATTTTCGAACTTGATTTGAATTTAAAATTTCCGTTGAAAATATTTGTTTACATTTCTTAGTCTTTGTGGAATTTATAAAATTTCATTTTTTTAAAATGGTCAGAAATTGTGTAATTACCAGAGTTTGAAAATAAAATGAAAATTGCTCTATTTTGAAAATAAATCAAAATGAAAATTATGAAAATTGCCAATTTTGATCAAAGCAATTTTGCAATTTTGTCAATTTCAGAAAATTGCAATTTTGGAAATTATCAATTTTTATTTTTGTGACGTCATAAATATTTGATGAATAATTTTGTATGAAAATTTTCTACTTTTTAAATGAATTTTTTCTTCAGAAAAACAAAAGATACAGTTTATTTCCTGGATGTTGATATTCGTTTTTAACTTAATACTTGCTAATTCCTGCGTGTTTTAAAATTATGATAAATTTAAAATTATGATTATGAGCATTATAAGTACCTTTAATTTAAAATAAACTTAAAGGAACAACGCATCAAACACGCAGGAATTAGCAAGTATTAAGTTAAAAACGAATATCAACATCCAGGAAATAAACTGTATCTTTTGTTTTTCTGAAGAAAAAATTCATTTAAAAAGAAGAAAATTTTCATACAAAATTATCCATCAAATATTTATGACGTCACAAAAATAAAAATTGATAATTTCCAAAATTGCAATTTTGGAAAATAAACAATTTCTAAAATTGCAATTTTCTGAAATTGACAAAATTGCAAAATTGCTTTGATCAAAATTGGCAATTTTCATAATTTTCATTTTGATTTATTTTCAAAATAGAGCAATTTTCATTTTATTTTCAAACTCTGGTAATTACTGGTTGTAAAGGAAAGAAAATCAATAAAATACCTTTGTTTGAACTTCCAAAAAGCTCTGTGCATAAAGATAAGGAGATTGAATTTCTTAAATTGCATAATATTGAATATTGCTGTGAAAAAAAAATATTTCTTGTGTATTCTTGAATTTATTTATAGACAACTTAATTGATTTACCTTATGTTCTGATCCTTCCTTTAACCAGAAATTCATCAATACAGTAATTGCACAAATTGAAGTCGATTTTGAACATTGTCAAGATACAATTGATAAATTATTAAACGTTTTTGTTGAATTTAGAGTAAAATTGCAATTTCAAAGTCGATTGGTACATTAAAGGAATAATTTTGCTTCAAAAAATAACTAAAATAAATATTATTTTATTAATTCCCTAACGGTCATTTATTTTTTAAAAAATTTAATAGTTCGAAACAGTTCGAAATTTTTCGAATTTCAGTTTGAATTTATCGAATCTAACTGAAGTTTTCTTTGTTTGCAGTCGTTGGATTTTTAACTTTTAATCCTTTAAATTTGTGGATTTTTAATATCTGGATGTATTGTAATCCTTTTAAGGTGAAACGTTTTTTTTAGAGCTATGAACATCAGACATAATTTCTTAAAAATTAAAACATGTGCTGACATATAAGCTTTCTAGTTTTCATTTGATACAGAAAGAGATGACATAAAAAGTATTAGGAAGCCTTTGTCATTAGAAATAAAATGGAATTTTTCAGCGTCATTAAATTTTAAATTGTGACACTTGAAGTATGTGAAAATGTTCTAAACGAAAGATATTTTACCTGCGGCGTTCATATAAATTATTTTTATGCATGCACACTCTTTCTAGTTTAATCTCTTTTATTTTATTTTGAATAACTAAACTATTTACCAAACCTATCTCATTATTTTGTTCGAGCCTTTTCGTTTTAATTACTGTTACATATGTGCATGTAAATATTACACTAATGGAAAGCGTTTTTCTTTTTCTTTTCTAGACTTAAGACAAACTTTTTTAATTGTTGTTAATTTTTGGTATCAAAAGCATGTTAACAACCAGTTGAGATAACTGTTCAAAAAAAGAAGCATGCCATAAACATACATGTTTGTGAAGACGTCATCATAATTTTTATGAAAGAAATGACGTCCTTCTCAAATTAGCGATCTAGAAAAGTTCTTTGAGATTTGAGTTTTGCAATTTGATTTATGATAATTTTAAGATTGCGTAAATCTCTTAATTATAAAATATGGACATCGTAGTTTAATGAGCTAAGCAATTCATTTAAGATAAAAGAAGCCTGTGATTTTCAATTTAGAAGCTTTTTGATGATAATTTTATGTATCTTATAATGATGAAAAGTCAAATAAATTTGCTTTGCATTAATTTAATAAGGATATCATTATCCAGGCAATTCAGAGATGCTAATAAAATTGACGCAAATGAATAGAAAGGCGATGAAAAATGTACAGGCGTATAACATACAATTCTAATCAGTCAGTCTTATGAGCATAAAAAAAAATAACTAGACTTTGACCCTTGTTAAGCAAGGCGAATAATATTTTAAAATGCGTAAATTTATCTTGCATTAAATAAGTTTTAAGTTCTCCATTAATAAACATTTTGCATGGTTTTCTGTAACCACAGTATCTTTTTTTATGCAAGGAAAATTATGCAACTAAACGTAAAAAGGATCAATTTTAAACGAAATCGAATAGACAAAGGCAAAGAATTTTATCCTTATGTACCAATGAGAAAATTTATGTGCATAAATTTTTTTATGTTCCGCGTTAAATTTGTTTTTTGTTGCCATCCATCAATAAATACGTTCGTATTTATTCTATCAATATTCAGTACAATTTTTTTTACAAGAAGCTTTCTTGTTAAGTGAAGATTGAATGCTTTAATGTGATTTATTTTGCTTGAAATACTCCCAAATATGACGAAAGAAGAAATTATTTTTTTTACAAAAATTGCTCTTACAGAAGCAATTCAAATCAAGTGCGAAAATATGTTTTCAACTTTTGTTTGGGCAATGTACCTGTTTAGAATTTTCAACCACGTTTACAGTTCTATTCATCACGCCATACAAATCTGATCAATTATATGCTGTCAATAACAATTATACTTATTCATATGCACAAAATCTTTCATGGATATAAAAAATATCACTTATGTTCAATAAATGGTGGATTTAAATCATGCTTGTCGGCTTGGAAATGCATGTCATTAGAAAATCTTGCTCATTTTTAAATCGACTTAAATCTCATTATATTCCTAAATAAATCAACATAATGCTAGATGTAATATCCAATTTTTGTCTCTTTCATATAGATTCTCTCTCATAGGATTAGAAACAGCTCTACGAAATAATGCATTTTTATTGGATTAATGGGATGAGAGCTTTTTCACTTATCTTAATAATCGTTTTATCCAGCATCAAACATCACACAGCGGCTGAAATGAAATTTTATAGTGGGGATTATGGTAAAAGCAATAATCAACAACAAACATATGAAATCAATGAAGCGAACAGAATGTGGAAGAATTTACAGGAAAATTGGAGAAAGGGTAATGAGAATGTAATGGATAATTATCATACGCAAAATATGATTCCATCGTATTATGGTAATAGTGACGCTAATGCACAAAAACATTCTTCAATAAATAATTATAAATCCAATGGAGATCTAACAACAGTTGATAAGCGATTATGGAAAATATTTAATGAACAAGGAACTGGTAAGCGACAAGGTCAAAGTTCATGGAACAACGTACGAAACGGAGGCTGGGGAAAGCGAGAAGGCAATTGGAATAATCTCAGAGGACTTTGGGGAAAACGTTCAGGCTCTTCGTGGGATAAACTTCAAGGAAGCTGGGGAAAAAAATAAAATCATGCGAAATTGTCCATCATGAAAACCACAACCACAACAAAAAAATATGACTGAAAGCAGTAATCCATTGTTTTATTGAATTTAAATCTTTTATCATAATCAACATAAGCATCAAAAAAGGGCATTTTCGAAAAATGAAAGTTTAGATTTAAAACAAAACTTTTGCAATACTTGTAAAAATCATCTATGATGAATTTTCCATTACTTACTGGACGAATATTAATAATTTTGTATAAATCTTATTCCCTCTGTTAATAATATTGTTAAGAAATGTTCAACAAGTCAATAAAGGAAAACTGAGAAATGAATATCAAATGATAAAGCATTTGTTCACAAATAAAGCAAATCTGTAAGATAAACAGTATTTTGAATTCTTCACCTTTGTGTATTGAATTTCAGTATTTTGGTACACTAGTATCGTTCATAATAATAAATTTAACAATTTCAGACAGTGGACTTCAGTATTAGATTTTAAATCAATTTAGAAAAGTTATGAATTTAAAGAGTATCATGTGTATAAATTACAGGCTCGGAGTCTCTACAAATTGATGGTACATTTCATATTTACTTAATAGAAAAACCATGATGAAAATGTGAAAGATGTCAAGTATATAACATAAAACAAATGTGATTAATTGCGTTGGTTTCACATAAATAAAGGATGATGTAAAAACGACGATTATGAGCATTTGTATTTTTGGAGGCATCTCACGAAAATAAAATATATGACGAGTAATTTTGTATTCTCATGAAAGGACATGCGATATGTAATGAGGCAACTGTGGTTTCTACTGTACCTTTAGGATTTTACCTTTTGTCCTTAACTTGTAATAAATTAACGGATAACATATGATTCATTTGTTAATAAACGTATGGATGATCCACTCTACTAGAAATTCCAGAAAATATTTTATTCATAGTTCTATCTAACGTTGAATTAATGTCAAACTTGAAATTTAATCCACAATAACATTTTTATACAAAGGAAAACCTCAGATTTTATGAATTACAGATATGTAGAACTTTAAGTATATTAAACAACTTTTGGATATTGAAGAACCTCAACATATTAACCTAATGTTTCATTGCTTTTCACTAAAATTATTAAAGTTTGACTTTTTCTCATATAATTACAATTTTCAGAATCCAAAAACTTTTTAAGGACATCACTAAATTTATCAGAATAATTTTTAAAATGAAATTGCTAGATTAGTCACTTAATTATTGATTGGATTCACCGATAATAAATTTTTAATACTTTGTGCAAATTAATTCTATCCTCATTCCAATAAATTTGTTCTAAATGTTATCATGATGCGTAACGTGCTCTTCAGTCTTTTTTTTTATTATCTAATCAAAAATTTAATTTTTCAACAACAAAATTCTGATGTACAAACCTTACCCGCATGAACTTGATTAAAAAATAAACTCAAGTTGTGAAAAGTGTCAGGAGAATGGAAAGAAAGTAAGTAAAAAGTGTGAATAATCAGGAAGTTAAACAAAGTCAGTCATATTATTACAGTATACGTAATTCTTAAACAGAGTTAAGGAACAACGGCAACAGCACGTGGATGGATAGGTAGAAGAACTGTATTTCTCCAATTCTTATTCTCCATACTTTCTTTCGAAAGAAAATTTCCGTAGCTTTTCGGTTTATTTCGTTTCTCCATTCTTTCACTGCTTTTTTTGATTATAACATTTTTTTTTGTTCTTCAATGTTGTAATTTGCTCTTTCATTACTTGCATGAATCTATACATAAACATATTTTTCCCCTGACTGTGTATTCTGAAAATTTTCACGCTGTATAGCACAGCATCCAAACGGAGAAAATTTTTATATAAAAACATTCAGAGTAGTTTAGCCACAAGCCAGTTGAACTCTTCAAGTCAGGAGTATTGGACGTGTTCGAGTCTTTTTAAGCCACATTATTATTGTATATATTGAAAAAGAAGTATATTAATTTTTGTTGAAAGTGTTACAAATTTATATTAGTGTTTTCGACATTCTTCAAACAAAATTAAAAGTTTGTAATTTTTTTGTGTTATTATCCTTAACATCCATTTCATTTATCTTCAGATGCATTTTTTCTTAAAATCAGTTTTGTTCAGGTTAATCGAAAAATTAAATTTACAGATTATAAGTATTAGATTTTTTTGGGTATGGTCAAGATTAAAAATATTCATATTTATTTGAGAGATAAAAAATATAAGAGAACTGATATAGTTCAATTTAAGACTCAGTGTTTTTCAAATTATGTGTCGAGATTTTTCCAAAAAGCCTTAAAATTAATTAGTCGTGATACTCGATTTATAAGAAGATTTTATGATTTAAATGAAAATTTAAATACGACAAAAGTGTATCGTCTTAAATTCAGCCTTACTAAAGCAAATATATGAACAATCAAAGACAGACCAACACAAGACGTCAGACACTATTTCTTTTTCATTAATTTCAATAATCTATTGCAGTTTTTAAAGAAATATGTTTTTAAACAATATCAATTTTCAATTATTTTCCATTTTTCCTTGTCATCTTTTTGAAAAGTTTGAATTAAGGAATTTGTGTAATTAAAGTTATTCGATAGTCAATGTTGCAATTAAAGAATTGTAAAAAGTTTTTTGAGCATCATCTTAGTGAATTTCTATGTGAAACTTTCCGAAAGATTGAATCAATTCTGTTGTAAAAAACGGAAAATAATTAAAAAGGAAAAGATTTCAAGTCTGTCAAGTCAAATGAAACTAATTCCTTTCATGATTTGATTTTCACTTAGTTCTAACCTGAATTTGTCTAAAACAAATTTACGAGTTTTTGCTATTTTTCTTACACTTACTTTTGAGGATGATACAATTTAGAATTTATAAGCTTACAATAGACACTCAAATGACATTCAAAAAGCTCTTCTTATCAACATTCCTTTCAAATCTCAAATCATTTTTTATGAATAGCCAAAAAAAATAGTTTGATTTGTGTAGCTTTTTAAGATTTCTGGGTATGTTTGTCGTATATTCAGTTGAAATAAACTTTAATGGGATATAATAAGATTCTATTGTAATGATGTATCTATCTCAACATTCTTTTTTTTTCTTCTCTTCATGGAACAAATTATGGCCAGAAGCAATGGCATTTATAAATATCCTTTAGTTGAGACTTCAAAGGATTTATAAAGGCATATAATATTTCTTTAACTCATGCATCAATTTAAATTATATCTTTATCCATGGTCCTCTCATGATAAAAGCTTGAATGGCAATGAATTCAGAAAAAATACAAGAACTAATGATATTTAACAGACTAATTGTATTTATTCATTGTGGTAATAGTGTAAAAATGCCTTTTCGATGTTTTGATATAAGGAACACAGCATGCATGATTATCGAGAGACCATTCATGCTCTATTATATATATTTTTTTTCTTCCTTTTTTACTTAAAGGTATTAAAAAGCCAATACTAATAGGAATCAAAATGATGATCAAAGAACAGAATAAAGGAATTAAAATACTCTCAATTGCAACTATCGTCTTTATGTTTTTAACAACCATATATGCCGAAGAAGCAATTAATGGAGAAGAGAATAGGAAGAATCCAAACAATATTCAAATATCCACAAGTAGTTTATATCATCCGAAAATAAAACGAGCCTGGAATCAGCTTCAGAATGGTGGATGGGGAAAACGCAATTTTGAGGAAAATGAAGATGAAGAATCAAGTGATCAATGGAACCGAAGGCTTATGAAAATGTATGCTGAACAATTACTTGGAAACAAACAAAATGATGACGATGTAGAGTACTATGATAATGGAATTGACAAGCGTGCATGGAGTCAATTTAATGGTGGATGGGGAAAAAGAGACTGGAATCAATTAAGAGGTAATGCTTATATCTTTTTTATTTTCCTAATATAAATATATGAATGTGTATGCACATTTTATGTTCATCATCACAGGTAATGCATGGGGTAAAAGACGAGAGTGGAATAAACTATCATCGGTATGGGGTAAAAAATAAATGAATTCATCAATCCAATAAATGTCTGTCCATTGTTCAATTGATAAGAGTCGCAAAATCTTCATTGTTTGACATGAGAAATAAAGGTATTTTGCAAAACGATACTCTTCGTTTTATCTTCGATATCAAATGTGAAAAAAAATATACATGAGAGAAGATCTTTAATTACTTTTACTCATCTCAACATATATTTTTTGTTTGAATATTATTTAAAAACTGTAACATAATTAATATCAATCAAGTTCTGATTAAGAAATAAACCAATTTTATTGCCAAAGTTTTGCAAATGCGAAAATAAAATCAAAAATGTGTTTGAATTATCATTTCTGCAATCGTATCCATATTACCGCCATCAATTAATCATTAATTACAATTCGATGAATAACATATTCAATAAAAATTTCATTTCAGAACTAATAAACATGCTTATAGGATTTTAGATGATGCATCACGTTTGATTTCCTAATCTAGTCATGAATATTAGATTATTGAACAAATGCATACTTCTCAAAGTTTTGCTTTTTCTGTGATTTTCTTATTGAAGTTTCACACACACACACACCTTTTCGTCGTCCGCATCAGTTTTTGTATGACGTACTGTTATTTTTGGTACGACTTCTTGTTTTGTATGAAATGAAAATGCTTGAAACTTTTCAATGTTGAATTTTTTGCTACTTCATACGGACGGTGATTACCATACTTTCAGAAAACTTTTGAAAATATAAATTCACCAAGATTATAATGCACAGTGTATTTTTATTCAGCTCATGTTTTCTGCGGCAGTTAATTGCTTGGTTTAAAATTTAATTTAATGTGCTTAAACTTTAATACACTTACACTTCCAATTTTTATTTTTATCACCAATGGTTCTTTTTTTCAATTAGTGGTGCATAATATAAATTTATGGAGAAGGAAATCACAAACATCCTTTATAATTTCATTCTAGAATCTTTAGAATTTTTTAACAACTTTTAGCTATACTCAATTTTACATTCAGAATTTTGAACAATCTATTTTGTCTATCAATAGAAACTCAAATCAAATTTGTGAAAAAGTTATACTTAACATTAGATGCAGATCCTATACTTTCCTTAATTTTGTCTTTAAACTAAAACTGGTCCATCAAAAATAGAACCTTTTTGATTGATTTTCGAGTTTTTTCCAGTTTCTCAGAAAAGAAAGTATTATTACACCATACAGTGCTTATTATTCCTGTAGGAACTAACCATCGAATGATACTACATTATTTTGGTCGGTTCTTCTGCACAGGCAATGCTACTACAAAACACGTTAAAATTGGAACCAATGTCATGAAAAATTTGGATTTTCATACATTCTTTTAGATAACTTTAGAGTGAACCTTGGTTAATGGATAGTATCTTCACGAGAACCATATTTACGTGTGAATGTTTTATTTTTACTAAAGTTATTCACAGTGCAAAAGTGTGTACCTGAAATTTTGTGCTTTTGGAAAAAACAGAATTTTAATTGGTTGATGTATTGCTTAAAAATCGCAAAATAAGATTTATGCACGCAACATGCAAATTAATCATCAAGAAATCTCAATAACAATACATCGTAGAGACTTCGAGTTTTTTACATTCGATCCGTATTGTTTTATAGAAGAGCTGTATTGTTTTTTGGGCAAGGGAGGAATAGCCGTTGTTTCAGAAAAAGCAAAAAACGTTCCTTTCTTAAGATTTTGAAAGACGAAAGTTTAGTGTGATTTTTATAAAATACAAACTTTCAAACATGTGCATATATATATCTGTATTGGATTCCTTTCCCGATTCACTAGTTTCAAAATCTTTTCAGTATATGTAGTACTTACGGAAATATTTGATGACTAATTAGATGAAAACTATCATTATTTCTTCCTCAAACATAAGACATGAGGTTTTTGTAAAATGTTCTTTTGAAATAATGATTGTTACTTGTCATCTGATTACGTGAATATTCCTCATTAAATATTATAAAAAGCTTTGTAAATTAAATGACTTTACTGCTTATATTTTACAAATATTTGTCACATTTACAATCTTTTGGTCCATTAAACATAGCATGAAATTGATTATGGAATCGAAATTTTTAAGGGAATTAACATTTATTAAAAATGTGCATAAATTGTTATTTCAATTAAAATAGGTATTTCTAGAGTAATACAATTTATAATGCCGTTGTAGGATGAATGATAAATTAGTTGTCGCAAATACATCATCATGTTAGAAATGAAGGATAGAAAATTAAATCTGTGCAAAATTCTTTAAAACATTTCCATTTTGAGAATTTCTACCTACAAAACCTAAAGCAATATTCCTTTACAGTTCACTAATCACCCTTGTTTTATTTTCCAATAAGAATTTAAGTTTCGTCGCTCTTGTCAAAAAAATCTCATTCTCACCCCTAAAGCACAATCATAAATTTCTAATTTAATTTTCCATTTAGATTTCAGCATTCTCTTCAGAAACAAAGTGTAATGCGTGAAAATTGTCTGTTTAAGAGCAAGGATTAAAGATGTGAAATAATCTTCATTTACGTGCGTACAAGACATTCTTTTTTATCGCTACTTATTCAAAAATTAAATAATGATAATGTCAATTCCCACGCTTTTATAAATGAATCAGTTTGATCTTCCTTTCATACAAATTACCAGAAATTTTGCACTTCTCTTATGATACTATATAGTAATAAATTTTTAATACGAACGATTAATTTTGTCAAGAAGGAGATTTGATTTCTTTTCATGCTAAAGTTCTTTCATGTGACATGTGGCATGTTCGCATACATACATTTTCAAATACATTCCGTAACGAATAAATAAAATTTGAATGGAAGATAAAAATTCTAATAGATGGCACCGTTCCCAAAAAAATAAAAAATATATTAACCTTAAATACATTCTAGAAGAATTTTAGTTCACATCTGTTTACAATTAAGATTATAAAATTATTCAATCATGGCAATGCATATTCCAAAAGCTCCAGGCTTCTCTTCGATGCTTAAAGAAGGAGCTAGAGTAAGTGATTGAGTTTAATTCATATAACATTATTAATTTACATTGTTTTTTTTTCTCTCATTCACATTTTTAAGGCATATCATGGATTAGAAGAAGCAGTTTTTCGAAATATTACAGCATGTAAGGAATTTGCAGCGAGCGTTCGTTCAGCTTACGGTCCAAATGGCATGAATAAAATGATTATTAATCATATTGAGAAGCAATTTGTAACATCAGATGCCGGAACAATTATGAGAGAACTTGATGTTGAACATCCAGCTGCCAAACTAATGATTATGGCAAGTCAAATGCAAGAATCTGAAGTTGGTGATGGAACAAACTTTGTTGTAATCTTATGTGGAGCTCTTCTAGAAGCAGCCGAAGAGTTATTGCGTTTGGGCGTTAATGTTACAGACATCTGCGAAGGATATGAAAGAGCTTTAGACAAAGTTTTGGATATTCTTCCATCATTCGTTTGCTACGAAGTTGATGACTGTCGAAATCTTGAAAAAGTCAAGGAAGGCATTAAAGCCTCAATAATGTCAAAACAATTCGGAAATGAAGATATTCTGGTTGATCTCATTACCAAAGCATGTGTTGCAATTTTGCCTGAACAAACGACATTCAATGTGGATAATGTTCGAGTTTGTAAAGTGAGTCATTCTTTTATTTGTCATTTCTCATTAAACATTCTTAATTCATAACACAAAATTTGTATCATTAGATTTTAGGATGTGGATTAACTGCTTCAGAAGTAGTCAACGGAATGGTTTTTAAACGCTTTGTTGAAGGAGATGTTGCACATGCAGAACAAGCTAAAATTGCTTTATATACATGCCCTGTTGATGTCACACAAACTGAAACAAAGGGGACTGTTTTGATCAAAACTGCTGAAGAACTTAAGAACTTTAGTAAAGGCGAAGAAAATCTTTTAGAAGAACAAATTAAGGCGATTGCAGAAACTGGAACTAAAGTAATAGTTGCCGGTGGTAAATTTGGAGATATGGCTCTTCATTTCATCAACAAATACAACATGATGGCTGTTCGATTAAATTCTAAATTTGATTTACGTCGATTAGCAAAAACTGTAAATGGAACTGTTTTGCCAAGATTAACTCCTCCAACTAGTGAGGAATTAGGATATTGCGATAAGGTTTTTGTCGATGAACTTGGCGAAACAGGTGTTGTTATTTTCCGTAATGAAGGCAAAGACAGTAAAATTGCTACCATTGTTATTCGCGGTTCTACAGACAATTATATGGATGATATTGAACGTGCTATCGATGATGGAGTCAATACATTCAAAGGTCTTACACGAAATGGAAAATTTTTGCCTGGTGCTGGAGCTATTGAAATATCAGTGGCTCAAAGCTTATCCGAATATGCAGACACACTTCCAGGATTAGAACAATATGCTGTAAGAAAGTTTGCCACAGCCTTAGAATCTTTCCCAAAGGCACTTGCTGAAAATTCCGGTGTTAATGCAACTGAAGTTGTTCAAAAGTTGCATTTTGCACACAAATCTGGAGAAAAGACACAAGGATTTGACATCAACTCTGAACAACCAGCAACAATTGATGTAAAATCAACTAGCATTTATGATGCATATCCAACCAAATATTGGGGTATCAAATATGCTGTAGGAGCAGCAACAACAATCCTTCGTGTTGATCAAATTATTATGGCTAAGAGAGCAGGTGGTCCAAAGCCACGTGATAATCCACAAGATCAAGATGATGACTAAACGTCGATTGCTTGTAATTCTTCTCATTTAATCTAACATAAACTTAACTAATAATTTCACATAGCTTTCAAATTTGCGTTAAACATCATCTAAAAACTCAATACAGCACATCCTTTCATGATTTCAACTAATGTATTATTTTCTCTTTAAGAAATAATAAAATTTATTGCTTATTATTGCATTCACAATTACATGCACTTTTATTTAACTTTTATAATCGATGAGATATTAATTAAAGAAATAAAGAAGAATTAATAATTTAATAAATAACTTAGAAATTAAAAATATTCAATATCATGTTAATTTAATCAACTCTTTATGCTGAGCCTCCTCGCTATCTTTCTTTAAAATATAAAAACTTTTCGGTTTCCCGTTAGTATAAATGGGCTTTGTTGAAAAATGATTCCCATTTGAAGGTGCATAATAAACTTGAACAGATTTTTTTCTTAAATTCTTCTGCTCATTTCCATCATTAGTATAGTCGTTAAAGTTTTCTCTTGCTTCTAGCATTGAATTTATTGGATCATATAAAGCTTCTTTACTCTGTGCGACTTTATTATTTCGTCCCACGCTTAACTGTAAAAGGTTTTCTATAATTGGCAAGTTCCAATGATAAAGTGCTCCAGGTTTTCCATTTAATGTGAATCCTAAAGGAATCTGTTTATAAAAAATGAACAGTTAACCAATCGTAATATATTAATTTATCTAAAGTTATGTACCAATTCATTCCTTAATTTATCTTTTGAATATTTGACATTATTTGCTGCATAATAGTTTTGATTTGGTGGAAGTTTAATGATGAAAATCTTTGAATTGTCAGGTTGATATTGATTTTTCGATAACAAATATGACTTTCTCTTCTGATTCAAAGACATTTTTGATTGATGAAATCCAAGCACATTTAAAAGTTCTTGGTTTGAAGCTGCTTTAAAATTCTCTCTTGATGATTTCGAAAGCTTTTGTTGCTTAAAAACGTTTTTCTCAAAATTATTTTCAAAAGACTTCAACTGATGAATATATGTAATCGGTGATTGAGTCGAATAGACATCATGATATTTTCGGATGTCGAAATTATTAATTATATGACTCTGCTCAGATACTTTTAAAAGCAAATTTGCTAGCAAAAATCTAGTTAAAATAAAATTAATAAATTATTAGATATGCAGAAGAGATGATTTTTGACAAACTTTTTACTTTTTCCACCAATGAAGAAATATTTTTAAAACATAACACATTATCACGAAAAGAATCAACATGTTGTTCTGTTTATTTGTAAAGTCGGAGTAAAATTTATAAATAACATCAGCTGAAATGCAGAAAGTGCATTTTTTCTATTAATTTTTAAACGGCAATGGAATCGAAACAGACTAAATTCGGGAATTTTTTATCGTTTAATAAAACCCAGCCCAACTTACATACAAGGCACTAAAGAATATTGTAACAAGCCTGTTCGTATAAAGAATAGAATATCTCAAAGAACATCAAAAAATTGACAAAAGCCTTAGGGGCCATTCACTTATTACGTAACGCTTTTAGGGGGAGGGGGGTCTAAGATTTTGTTACGATTCAAACAAGGAAATTTTTTTTTCATACAAATTTTGTTACGAGGGGGGGGGTCTAAGAAGTCATTTTTTCGCGTTACGTAATAAGTGAACAGCCCCTTATTTTGAATTTCTTAAAAAGGCACATTGTAGAAGATTTTATGAAAAGCTGTGAAAATCCTTTGCAATGATTTTATACAACACTTGAAGCTTGAAATCCATTAAATAATGAATGTGATGGTGTTAAACAATAGTTATCCTTTTCGACCAATCCTAAATGATTTTTCAGCTCGAAAGCGACAGCATTATTACAATTCCATATGCTGCAATACCGTCATAGTTTTGACACAAAATTAAAATTGAATAAAATATAAAGGATCAGTGAAGAAAGAAGAAGATAAAAATTTTCATTAACGAATATTCAAATCTGGTCAATTGCATCGTTTAAGTGGACTTAAATGTAAAGTTTCTTTAAAAATTCCATCATTTCTTCTTTTTAAACTTATTGCCAACGATGATATGTTAAATAGCATTGTACAAATTCTCTATGTGCGATAAACATTATTCCGAAAATTTATTTTTAAAGTTTAATTTTGTAAAATATAAAAGAAATATGTTCCAAAAATCAGCACACAGTTACAGAGAAAGGTAGAAACTCAATTTGGGAAAAGATTAAAAAATGCAATTTGGTAGTAAAATTTCAATTTAGATATAATAAACAGCGCAGAGAAAATAGGCAATAACGTTAAAATATAATAAAATCATAAACATTTTTCTGTTGATGAAGAAGTTAAACCTCTTCATTATTAGGTTCATTATGGATGGACTAAAATTCGAATGGAATTTTTAATCTCATCTAATTATTTCTTTTTGGAGTGCGCTGAATTTGACAAAAAGTATTTTTGGAAATGAAGGAGATTGTTTAAGCAGTACAATTGATATTATTATTATAAAATCCTGGATGAACCAATCATAAAGAAATATTCTTATACAGTTTAAACAAGTTATGTTCCATATTTTGCTTCACAACAAAAGTATTTTTTGATATTATTGCCATAGACTTAATAAAAAATTCTTCAAAAATTGACCTACACGTTTTATTTTTAAATCATGTCTTTTTTGAAGTACATGGAGAGGTATTTCGGATAGTATACGACAATCGAATTGCAGCTACTTAGTATTAATGTACATATTTAATGTATGCCAATCAGGCACTGGTTTAAATCATTAATAGAATAGTAACGTCAGAAGTAAATATAGCTAAAGACGAATTCATTCAAACACTCCTCAATATAATGGTTCATTTAACCGCAAATGTGATGATTTGACACAAGCTACACAGAATAGAAATTTAAAGAAATTTCTTGAACAAACAATTAGTGCACGTGAGAATATGTGATGAATTTTAAGTATGGAAATACATAACTTACTCTTTTATTGCCTTATTGAATACTTTGTTTTTAAACTGTTTAACAATTTATTCCATTTGCCGATTGACTATCTATCATACAACTTTATTTGAAACAAAAGGTTCTTAATTCAAAGAAAATATAACTTTAACTCATCACTTCTTCACAACTTATAATATTATCACAAATAGATTTACCTGATAAAAAAATTCATTGTTGCTTCTATTCCTAATTCTGTATGCAATGTAACGATGTAATTCGATGACAATTATTCTACAACCAGCTTCAAAGTTCTTTAATTTTTACACTTTTTTTCCTCTTAAATCAATTATTCTTGAATTTTGGATATTTCTCTTAGTGATGTTGAAAATCATAAAAGAAATTATGTTAACATCTTGATAAACCAAATACTCAAAACAAACTGAACCTATACGTTAGAGAAATATGTGCAGTAAAACTAACAACGAACGAGAAGTAAATACAAACTAAAGAAGAAGTATGAAAAACGACAACAGAGTTGGATAGCGAACCAAAGGACGGAAAGATCTTGAATGGAGTGGATTATAAGATTGTAGAGGTGAATTAATAACTTGAAAACATGCAAACGAAATGTAATGTCTGTTGTGTTTCATTGATGAGATGGATGGCAATATGTTGAAGGAAAGATAATCTAGTTAAATGATTTAATTTCTTTTTCACTGATAAGTCATTTGATTTGGCTAATTATTTTAATAGCTACAACAGTTATATTTATTGAGGTATGCTAAAGCAAGAAAAATCTAATAAATTAATTTATTCAATTAATAATTTGAGCAAAGTAATTAATAAGAATCTAATGAAACAAGACTTACGTAGAAAACCAACGAACCTCCACGGACGCCCGTTTTGATAGATTACAGCAATATAAAAAAAAAATAAAAATAAGCTGAAAGTTTTTTTTGCATAGATCAGATTTTAACACATCTTGGGTTTTCAGTGACTAATCAATATGCGACATCCAATAAAAGATTGTTAATGAACAAAATAATAAGAACGGCAATGAAATACTTAGATCAAACACTATCTATAATGTCTATAATCATTTTTGTGCAACTAGAACTTAACATAATAAATTATTTTATTGGATCTATAATGTGAAAAAGTAAAATATCTAATCATAAATGATAAAATAATTTAATAATTAGGAATTGATAGTTAATCGACGTTACAAAAAGTATGTGTTGAAAGACAAATTCAAGTTTTTCAGAATGACTACAAATTTAAACCATTTATGATTCTTTTGATGCGTAATTCATCACTTAGCTCCTCATGATCGAAGTGTTCAAGCAATTAAGGAAATACTACGAGCTTTGACGAGATACTTATTGTAGCATCAGAACAAAGATGACGAAAAGGAAAAAGCATAAACATGCTTGTTCCTTATAATTTTAAACAAAAAGAAATTAAAGAAGAGCAGCAAAAGGTTTTTCTTGGTTCGTTTATGCTTTAGAACATGGAGAGCTAGAAAATTTATGCCTATAAATTTATAGGTTTAATTGATTGCCCTCATTTTGCTAGTTTAAATCCATTCAATTGCTTCTACATAATCCATATGATTTAAAGACTGTATTCAGCTAATTGACGTCAAGTACGAGATTGTTGTACACGATAACTTTGAGCGATACAGTTGGCATCACATTGAAAAAAAGAGGGACTTTCACTTTGATTTTGGGACTTTTTCAAATTACGATCTCAAGTGATATTTTTCTTGTAGAGGACTTAACATTTGACTTTTATGCCTAATTTCAAGTCATTTGGTGCTGTTTTCGTGATTCCAGGGCTGTTTAAAGTCGGAAAATAGCAAAAAAACAGATTTTTTTCACACAAACTTTGAAGTAAAAACTCTCCGCAACGGTTAATTAAAATAAAAAACGGTTTTCAGTTTCTAGTAGTCCTATATGAGAACTATATTTGGTGAAGTACATAATTTTTTTCAATAATGTTTGTACTCATTTGATAGTAAATGTATGAAAATCCTAGGAAAAATATCTTTAATCACGCCGCACCTATCTTAGATGATGACTACATAGGGGGTAAAAGCATATCATCAAAATTTGACTGGAACACTTTTGAGATAAATTGCATTTTAAAACATATCTAGGTATTATAAATGATAAAGTATGCTAAATTAGATTTAAAATCGATATTTTTTTAAAAAATTAATTAATTATTAATTATTAATAATGATTAAGAATGCTAATAAAGATATAAAATCGATATTTTTTTGAAAAAATCCTACTATGATCGAAATCAAAAATGATTTAAATTGCATTTTAAAACATATCTAGGTATTATAAATGATAAAGAATGCTAAATTAGATTTAAAATCGATATTTTTTTTAAAAAAAACCTACAATGATCGAAACCAAAAATGCTTTAAATTTCATTTAAAAACATATCTAGGTATATTAACTGATAAAGAATGCTAAATTAGATATAAAATCGATATTTTTTTGAAAATAGCCTACTATGATCGAAACCAAAAATGCTTTAAATTGCATTTTAAAACATATCTAGATATTATAAATGATAAAGAATGCTAATATAGATTTAAAATCGATTTTTTTAAAACAGCCTACTATAATCAAAACCAAAAATGATTTAAATTGCATTTTGAAACATATCTAGGTATTATAAATGATAAAGAAAGCTAATATAGATATAAAATCGATATTTTTTTAAAAAAAAACCTACAATGATCGAAACCAAAAATGCTTTAAATTTCATTTAAAAACATATCTAGGTATATTAACTGATAAAGAATGCTAAATTAGATATAAAATCGATATTTTTTTGAAAATAGCCTACTATGATCGAAACCAAAAATGCTTTAAATTGCATTTTAAACCATATCTAGGTATTATAAATGATAAAGAATTCTAATATAGATATATAATCGATATTTTTTTTGAAAATAGCCTACTTTGATCGAAACCAAAAATGCTTTAAATTGCATTTTTCAACATTTCTAGGTATTATAAATGATAAAGAATGCTAATAGATTTAAAATCGATATTTTTTTGAAAATAGCCTACTATGATCGAAACCAAAAATGCTTTAAATTGCATTTTTAAACATATTTAGGTATTATAAATGACAAAGAATTCTAATATAGATATAAAATCGATATTTTTTTTTTGAAAAAAGCCTCCTATGATCGAAACCAAAAATGGTTTAAATTGCATTTTAAAACATATCTAGATATTATAAATGATAAAAAAATGCTAATATTGATTTAAAATCGTTTTTTTTTTAAAATAGCCTACTATGATCGAAACCAAAAATGCTTTAAATTGCATTTTTAAACATATTTAGGTATTATAAATGATAAAGAATGCTAATATAGATTTAAAATCGATATTTTTTTTGAAAATAGCCTACTTTGATCGAAACCAAAAATGCTTTAAATTGCATTTTTCAACATTTCTAGGTATTATAAATGATAAAGAATGCTAATATAGATTTAAAATCGATATTTTTTTGAAAATAGCCTACTATGATCGAAACCAAAAATGCTTTAAATTGCATTTTTAAACATATTTAGGTATTATAAATGACAAAGAATTCTAATAAAGATATATAATCGATATTTTTTTTGAAAATAGCCTACTTTGATCGAAACCAAAAATGGTTTAAATTGCATTTTAAAACATATCTAGATATTATAAATGATAAAAAAATGCTAATATTGATTTAAAATCGTTTTTTTTTTTAAAATAGCCTACTATGATCGAAACCAAAAATGCTTTAAATTGCATTTTTAAACATATTTAGGTATTATAAATGATAAAGAATGCTAATATAGATTTAAAATCGATATTTTTTTTGAAAATAGCCTACTTTGATCGAAACCAAAAATGCTTTAAATTGCATTTTAAACCATATCTAGGTATTATAAATGATAAAGAATGCTAATATAGATTTAAAATCGATATTTTTTTGAAAATAGCCTACTATGATCGAAACCAAAAATGCTTTAAATTGCATTTTTAAACATATTTAGGTATTATAAATGACAAAGAATTCTAATATAGATATATAATCGATATTTTTTTTGAAAATAGCCTACTTTGATCGAAACCAAAAATGCTTTAAATTGCATTTTTAAACATTTCTAGGTATTATAAATGATAAAGAATGCTAATATAGATTTAAAATCGATATTTTTTTGAAAATAGCCTACTATGATCGAAACCAAAAATGCTTTAAATTTCATTTAAAAACATATCTAGGTATTTTAACTGATAAAGAATGCTAAATTAGATTTAAAATCGATTTTTTTAAAACAGCCTACTATAATCAAAACCAAAAATGATTTAAATTGCATTTTGAAACATATCTAGGTATTTTAACTGATAAAGAATGCAAAATTAGATTTAAAATCGATTTTTTTAAAACAGCCTACTATAATCAAAACCAAAAATGATTTAAATTGCATTTTGAAACATATCTAGGTATTATAAATGATAAAGAATGCTAATATAGATATAAAATCGATATTTTTAAAACAGCCTACTATAATCAAAACCAAAAATGCTTTAAATTGCATTTTGAAACATATCTAGGTATTATAAATGATAAAGAATGCTAATATAGATATAAAATCGATATTTTTTTTTTGAAAAAAGCCTCCTATGATCGAAACCAAAAATGGTTTAAATTGCATTTTAAAACATATCTAGGTATTTTAACTGATAAAGAATGCTAAATTAGATTTAAAATCGATTTTTTTAAAACAGCCTACTAAAATCAAAACCAAAAATGATTTAAATTGCATTTTGAAACATATCTAGGTATTATAAATGATAAAGAATGCTAATATAGATATAACATCGATATTTTTTTTTGAAAAAAGCCTCCTATGATCGAAACCAAAAATGCTTTAAATTGCATTTTAAAACATATCTAGGTATTTTAACTGATAAAGAATGCTAAATTAGATTTAAAATCGATTTTTTTAAAACAGCCTACTATAATCAAAACCAAAAATGATTTAAATTGCATTTTGAAACATATCTAGGTATTATAAATGATAAAGAATGCTAATATAGATATAAAATCGATATTTTTTTTTTGAAAAAAGCCTCCTATGATCGAAACCAAAAATGCTTTAAATTGCATTTTAAAACATATCTAGATATTATAAATGATAAAGAATGCTAATATAGATTTAAA